TTCAGGTTTGTAATAGAGCATGTTAAAGGCAGTTAACTGCTGTTTTCATTAAAATAGAAATGTTATGTTTTAGTTATCTATTTTTTATCCTTGCATAAAGATGTTGATTCATTATTGTAGATGACTAATTCTATTCTGTGCCTTATTTTGTAAGTTAATGTATGCTTTCGCTTATGTTACTATATAAAACTTTGAGTCAAATATACTGATTTGATGCTAGTAGCACTCTTCTCATGTGCTTATTGCTTTAAAAAAGAATCGAAATTACTGCAAAATACAGTGTAGTCCTAAAACGACTGAGTTTGAAGTGACCTTTAGAAGAATTAGAGTTATTATTTCCTTGCTGTAGGGTAGTTTTATTCCTAGGGGAAGTATGTCCCAGCAGTGGCTTTTGAGTACAAGTTACCTTCCTCAAGTCTTTGTTCCAAGCACAGAATCTCATTTGTGCAAGTTTCCATTTGGCCTTCTGTACTGTGAATTTATTTTAATTATTTGTCAAGCACATGTTCAGAAAGTTACTTTATTCTCAATGTGAGATTGGTTAAAGAGGTAAAATGCAGATATATGTCATTCGGATTAAGAACGGTGCAAGGGATTTTTTTCTATACATAACGTTTGGTCAAATTTCATCGTGCTTTTGACTAAGCAGCGTGCAATCGCCCAACCTTGTTTTGAAATCCAGCTTATTCTTATGATCTGGAGATGTCACTTAATCCATTGTGTAGAGTTGACAGTGAGAGCTCAGAGAGAGGCCCAGTATTCATGGTGACACCTGCCTCAGGCTGTGGGGATGTCACCTGGTAGATGGCTCTGGTTTTGAGCTATTGTGACAGTGCCGGGCCTTGGCACCAGCAGGATATATGCGTTATGTGCGTGTACTCAGTTGTCCGAGGCCTTTCTGGAGAGCCTCCGCGCAGGGTATGGGTGGCCTCAGGGCTTCCTTTTCCAGAGAAGTCCTCAGGCCCCGGGGTACCCTTCAGAACAGGAGGCTAACTTCTGAAGGCAAACAGCCACTCTTGCCCTCCTTGCCCCGAACTGTGGAACAACAAAACAGCCTTCTGCTCTTTTTCAGATTCTTGATTTCTTTTTTTGCCTCTTACATTGGGGGAAGTACAAGCTATGGTGCAAGGCAAGAGGATTGGCTGAAATTTATAACAAGGAGTGTAATTAAAGGCATATTTGGAAGCAGGTTAAAAAAAGAACTGTGGCAGAAGGTCTTTAAGCATGCACATGATTTCTTACCACCTCTTTCTTGTCTTGTAGCTCTTCGGTAATAGATGTAATTCTTTACTTTGGATAAACTATTGCTAGGTTTGTCAGAATGGCTAATTCTTTCTAGTTATACTGTTACTTATTTACAAATTGCATTTTATTGTTCAGATCTGTGGTATGGATTGATACAGTTTTCTAGCCTATAACGTGGGTTTTATTGGGCAAAAAAAAATATATCCCAAGCAGTTGCTCTTCAAATTGAGATTGGCCTTAAGAGGCTGTTTCTCCTCTTATTTGTTGAGCAGTGTCAAATTTTGATAGATGTTTATGGCTTTGGACCTGTCCAAAATCAAAAGTAAAGCCAAAGCCCTGTTGACAGTTCTTCTCTCCTTCCATTCATTCCATACAAATGATTGATTTGATTGAGAATTTGCTGGTACTTTTTCAAAACCTATGAATTGTAGCCTTTGGGGTTGATATTTTCCTCTAAGACTTGGCCCAAGCTTAGAAGACAAGGGTACCCTGGGTGTCATTTAAGCACAGAGTCATAGAAGCATAGAATGGCTTGGGTTGGAAAGGACCTCAAGGATCATCAAGCTCCAACCCCCCCCCACCACAGGCAGGGCTGCCAACTTCCCCATTTTAATGCTAGACCAGGCTGCCCAGTGCCCCATCCAACCTGGCCTTGAACGCCTCCGGGAATGGGACATCCACAGCCCCTCTGGGCAGCCTGTTCCAGGACCCCACCACTCTCTTGGTAAAGAACTTTCCCCTGTTATCTTCCCTCCTTCAACTTAAAACCATTTCCTATTGCCCTACCATTATCTACCCACATAAAGAGTTGACTTCCCTCCTGTTTGTAGGCTCCCTTTAGGTACTGGAAAATTGCAGTGAGGTCACCCCAAGCCTTCTCTTCTATTCACTGAGAAATTACAGTTTAAGCACCTACGTATTGTCTGAGAGATGGCAGTGGGTATGCTGTGGAGTTTCTACTTTTTGATTTTCTGGTCAAGATCTTGCAAAAGCACGTTCTGTTTATCTGTTACACGTTTGATTTCTCCAAAATTTTTGGAGATTGTGCTCAGTCAGACCTAAAGAACTCAAGCAGTCAGGCCCCTCTTTGTACCATGGGTGGCCTGAGGAGCTCTTTGAGAGTTTTCTGAAGAGCTGTGTATTTAGTGATCCAGTTCTGTTTTCAAAACTTCTGGTAACAAAGTTGCTGCCCGTATTAGCAGTCGAACTGTGGTTTGGGAGTTGAAGTATACTTTTTCTTTGAACCAGGAAGTGCTTTTTTATTATTTAAAGGCTGAATTTTCCTGGGGCTTGAGGGTTTGAAATTAGACTGTTTGCAAAGTATGTTAGAGCTGAGAACAGTTTTGCTGTAATTTATCTAAAACGGTATTTTGTCACTGCATGTTGCTTTCCTTCCCACCTGCTCTCTGCCATGAACTAATTCAAGACGTTCCTCTGGCTGTTCTATATTCAGAACACTGCAGTAATGCATTACAGAAGCCTCCTGGGTATGTGTAATGGATAAAGGTACAGCGTGAATTGGCAAGGAAGAGTATAAACACCTTGTAATCAGAAACCATTATGCTCACCCTTTGAGATTTATTTTGCAGTCTGTAATACAGATACAGAAAGCATTAATAACACTTGGGTTTTCAGAAATGTCTGTTTTATTGCATACAAGTACCACGCTCCTGCTATTACTACTTAAGGAAAACATTTAATTTGGACAGAGTTGAAGGGGAGAGGAGCAAGACTGTGCTCAAAGGTTGCTCACTCAGCTTAGTTTGCAGAATTTTGGTGATAGAAGCATTGCTATGTATTTCAGTATCTGCTTTTGAAGAGTTTCTGAGTCCCAAAATAACAAGTGTCTAATGACTGAAGAGCATCATTATTTCTGGAAAGGGTGAAGTTTTAAAGATAGTGAAGGTACAGCTGAACAATCTGCAATTGTGGTCGGCTCTTTGACATGTGCAAAATTGGCCCTCTTTGATGACTGTTACTTACACCTCAGCTGTAAATCCAATGACCAGGAGCAGTTAATGTGGAAACTGGTGCCAGAGGAATTCTGCAGTTGTGCTCATCAGACAAGAAATGTGTTTTTTCAATTGATTTAGTTAAATCGGGGCAAAACACGGGGAGAAACTTTTCATTCTTATTTTAAACTTTGTGTGTTTTGACCAGTTGAGTGAAGATTCAAGCTACATATGCTTGAATGTGACTCAGTTGTGAATCAGTGTTATATTATGCTCTGTCTGAAAGACCAAACTGGAGCAACTTTGGATGTGATTTAAAATGAGCAACATCAAGTTAATATTCTGCATGTCTGAAAGACAGCTTTTTATACGTCCTTTTTCTTACAAAGTTTCCTTCAAAACCATTAATTAAACTGTTCATGCACGCTTTATAATATTGGAATGAGAACTGGTTAGGCCAGTTGCATTGACTTTCTTTGGTCGTTCTTCTCCTGAAAGAATGCATTACACTTGCTCTGGAAGCTGGAGTAGTGGTGGGACCATGGGGAGCGATGAATTAAACTTCTTGTAGTGTGAAAGGTTGGAGTATGACGTGCAAGTTTTATGCAGGAATAAAGGGTGAGGGTGTGTTTGTATAATAGGCAAGCATGTCTCATAACTTGTTCCAAAGAAAATCTTGTCTATAGAGTGGTAATTTAGGAACTGATGTCTAGACTGCTTTGAGAAATTGTAAACATAATGTCTTCAGAACAAAACCATGAGAGTGTAAGAGAAAATGCTGTACACTGTATCTTCAATATGTGGCTGAACACCAGGGAGATCAGAAGTATTTCAGCTGTTCGGCTTGCCTGCTGGATTAATTACTGAAAGAATGCATATGACAGCCCATAGTAACATCTTTCTTGAATACAGCAGTTCTGTGTTTACGTGAGTACATGACATGTACTGTGTATTTGTCAGTAATGGAAAATCTCTGAATAGTGGTGCATGGGTTTATGCATATCTTCATTGTTTATACATGTTTGAGAACCCATCAAACTTTTTCTTATACTTCTTTGTGCTGTTGTAAAAAAAAAAACTGATCGAAACATTGCGGTTGTAAAACTAGTGAGGATAAATATGTGTATCCTACTACAGTCAGTTTTAAACACTTTAATCTGAAAAGTACTTGGATAATTTTAGAAGGTGGGTTAATGTAATAGTTCTGCTTACTGTGTGAAGTTGCATGTATTTTGGTAATGATTGTCTGGTGAATCTACTGGACAACTGGAATGGCTTGTTTTCCCTCGTTTCTGCTTTGGGGGATAGGAAGAAATTTGAATGGGTCAGGACCAAAAGAATGTAATTAATAGTTGGAAATGCATAATTGAAAAGAAATGTGTTACAGTGTTATTATTTTTGTTTTAATTCTTTAAGGACAAACAATTATACTGCTTTGACATCATAAAAGAGGATAAAGCCTATAAAGCTTCTGGTATTTTTTAGCAGTGACAAACTCCAGCTTTCATATTTGTGTTCTTTGCAATATGGGAAAAAAACTGGCAGGACTGCATGCCACTGCAATTAAATTGTTAAACATAGAAACTTGAAGGGAGAAGCTTGTCTTACTTGTTTGGGGAGTATCTGTCAGCATATTTAAATGAAATTTTATTTTGAAACTGTATGTTTGTGATTATTAGCACATTCCTAAGCAGCATAACTATTTTGTGATCAGATCATGGTGATATATTCAAAACATAAAGACACTCATGGCACTGCAAACTACATCTTTTGTATTCATTTACGTTATTTTTCTTTTTACAGGATTACAAAGCCATTGACATTTGCTGACTGTGTTGGTGATGAGCTTCCTTTAGGATGGGAAACTGTTTACGATCAGCAGATTGGAGTGTATTATATGGACCACATAAATCGTGAGTAGAAGTGTGATTATTTTTAGGAGCACCAGCAAGCTGATGTGAACTGATGGCACTATCTTTGTGTCCGATACCATTTATGCAACTCATGTTACAGCAAGAGAATGTATACAAGTAATTTCTTGCACTGTTTCATCATCTTTTAAATGGGAAATGGGGGCACAGCCCTTCTTTCCTTTGTAAAGAATTTTATAATTGATGACAGAGAGATAGTGCATAAAGTTGCTTTGTTTTGCTTTGTCAAACAATGAACAGCCAGTAATTTTGTTGCTTTCTGCATATATTGAAATTTCCATGCTATACTCTTGCTTTGCATGGCTTTCTAGTGATCGATGCTTGACTCTTCTATCTTGGAAAACAAAATCTGTTCTGAGAGAGGAGTGCTGATTTTTAATCGGCAATTACAGTAATGTCATCCACTCTTACACAGCCTGTATTTTATACTTTTAAAGGGCTGTCACAAAATGCAACACATGACCCTCTGAGAATGGGAATGATATCCATCATTTACCTTTTTGGTTACCTGTTGCTGAGCTTTATATCACTTCTGTTTGGCACGTTTTCCAGTTCTAGTTTTAAAGTAGTATGTCTTATCTTTACAGCTTTGTACTACAGTTGCTGTTACTGCTGTGTTGATATCATTAAGCTTCTTATCACCAATAAGTGGATGCTTTCAATATTGTGGGAACTGGCAGTTGGCGGGGAGGGAGGAAAGAAGAAAGTGGTTATGTGAGCTATCACAGTAATGGTAAATGGTATAATCTGTAAAAACAACCTGACTACTATCTACTTGAAATCCAGTCAATTAAAAAATTGAAATATAGAAGTAGTTTTTGTCTTCCTGCCATCACTGGCAGTATTTGTCTGTTGTGATTAAACAGTTATTTAAAAAAGCAAACAAAAAAAAAAAAAAAAAAAAAGCGACCCACCACCAACAGCAGAATAAGAAACGTTCTCATTTATCTCATGTATCTCATGATGTTGTTTGACCCTCATGGATGCTTATTTGTTGTGAAATTAATAAATTAACAGAGTAACAAATTGAATAATTATCTTAGAAGAGCTGTTAATGCTCTGATCAGAAGGATAGATATCCTAGCCAACTGAAAGTTGAGAAATACAGGTTGTTTCTCTATTTAAAAGAAGTAGTAGTTTCAGGATAGCTGTTTAAGCTCTTGTGGTAACTTTAGTTAATGCTGAAATTAAATGAAAAGTGAACTTTGTTTTGGGTGTATAGTAATAGAGTGTTTTTGTATCAATATATGGCTACATGAAGGCACACACTGAAAACAAAACAAAACGTGAGGATATTGGCAGCTGTTATTCCTATAAACTTTTTAAAATGCTTTAGAAGCCACTGTAGATGATGGGTAGAACATGAACTCCCACTGTGGTGCTCTGACTAAAAGAGTTAAGAAAGGATTCTAGCAATAGACATCTTGGACAGGAATAACAATCATCACTGCATGCAAAAGAAATCACTCCCTTTTGTTTTTCAGACTTTGTTATTATCTGTTTTACCACAGATATCAAGTTTGAACTTACAGAAAGGATATTAATCATTGTAGGCATGTCAGATCTGGCTTGCATTCTTTTTTCTGAGCAATCCGAGCAAAAGCTGTAGAAGAGGGTCTTTGCAAAGAGAAATTAAATTCCCAAATGCTTAATAGGAAGGCATAGAAAGAGAAGATTAATACAAATGGGTCTGAGAACATACATCTAATCTTATTATGAAATAAATAAAGGTAATATATGAACAGATGGATAAAGACTTCATAGTGCCAATGCTGAACTGAGTGAAAGGAATCATTCTGCAATTAACCAGGTTGCAAAATTTGTCTCTTTCATGATAACTAATTACTTGCAGCCCACAGATATTATCCTAAATGGTAATTCAGCCGTCATAGCAAAATGGGTTTGTCACCCTTAGGCTAATGCAGTGCTTGCTTATACAAGCAAGATTTATATTCAGAGGGAAAACAAAATTGATATTAGAGCTGGATGATCGTTACTCAGAAATTACTGGGATAGCTGATCCAATTTTAAACCGTGGACAACAGAAGTACCAATCAAGGTGACATTAACCTCTTTTGTAGAAGTGAGAACTAATGAATCATGTGCATCATGAGATCGTGTCAGGCAGGCAGCAGAGATGGTAGAGCAATGAATAAATGTTTTTCTGAAATGATTCCCTTGCGTTATGTTCTGAATTATGTCTAAAATACTTGAAAAGCAACTTCCAAGTGAAAACAAGTTGATTATTTAAACCCTTCCAGGATGCCTTTAGTGGCCGATCAGGTTTAAATGCTTTAAAACAACAATGGAGCTGTGTTAACTGGCAAAATAATAGTGCTTTAGTTCCAAGAAATTCTGTGAGAAAATGCCAGAGATGATTCAAATAGATTCTTTTAAAAGCTATGATTATTGAGGAACTCTCATGCTTTGCGTATCCTCAGCTTTTTGCCCGTATCCCTTTTAAAGGAAATCAGTAATGCATCTCATTTTTTTTCAAGCTTCTTACTAAGTTTGTTTACCTAGAAAGTAGTAAAAACTTCTTCTAGGCAATGCTTTTCCATTTATATTGCAAATCCCCAGGAACAGAGGAATCTTCAGTAAATCTCAACGCTGCTTCCAACCCTGATTTCCATCTTGTTCTGTAAATTCAGTACTTTGTTGACACCCTTACTAAGCTGCTCTTGGCTCTGGTCCAACCATTGCTTAAAAAACCGTGGTGGCTGCCAGCCGCAGAATTCCTTTCCCTCCTCCTCAGAGTCTTGAGAGCCTTTGAAGTCTCCTTTAACCAGTTGGGCATTCCCCAGTGGGGGAATAATAATCTGTTCCCTGCATTTGTCTGGGGCAGTTCTTGAATTACTATAGTCTTGTATTTTTTTATAAATTGTGTATAAAGAAACAAAGGAAATGAATTTTACCATCCAACTTAGCATTAGTTTCAGTTATTACATGACAAACTTATGTAGAAATCCAGGGCAAAGTGAAGATTCCATACTCATAAAACAGAAGAGAATGTCACTACTGTACTAAAGTAGTTTTCTGTCTCAGAAGAATGCTGCCAGCTTTGGAGAAGGCTTCTGAAATAAGTAATGCCATACCGTATAGTATAGGACCTCAAAGCTTAATGTGCAGTACAATGTAGTTTAGCTAATAGTAGAACTATTAATTTTCCATTCAAAAAGAGATGCTTACTATGATACAGTTTTTCTGTCTCATAAATATTAGTTATTTTTTGCATAGTTTCCATGCAGGACAGTAGCTTTAGGAATATTACATTTTTCATAAATTTCAGGAACACTGATGGATGTGATAGTGTTGCAAATTATCATGCCCTCACTGGAGGATGGGCTGTGGTGTGAACTCAGCAGTTTTCTTTTGCTTCCCATGCGTGCAGAAACTAGGCACATAAACGTTTATGGAGACTGGAACAAGTCACAGCACATCCTGCTCTGGAAGTAGGTTGGGGATGTTGGAGCAGAGAGATTTTGGAAACTGGAGGTTCTGCTGGAAAGGTCACTGCAATGCAGTGAACATATTGGAGAAAGGACAAAACTGTAGGCACAAGCTTCGTACTCTTACATTGTGAGGAGCTGTGGAAAGTTACAGCTGAATAAAGGTAGTTGGGAACATGGTAGTTCTGCTGGGAGTACTGTTCATAAACAAGCTTCATGTTTCTATCTACTTTTCAAATGGCTTGTAAATGGCAGAGCTAGTAGCATAACCTTGACATCGTTAGAGTTAATTTGTTAAGATCAACCTTTTATAGTTTCACATTTAGTTATGAGCACCAAAATTCTGAATTTCTGAACGCAAGATAAATATTAAACATAACTGGCTTTCATCTCTTGTGAGAAACAAAGTTTGGAAAAAATGACTAGGTATGCCTCCTGACTGTGCTGCTCTTTCTGCCACTGCTTTGAACACTGACATAACATCTGCAGTGACTTCTTGCCATCAAAGCTTCAATCATCAGAAATTAACGTGTTCTTAAACATGAGACTTCAAATGGACATCTTCATGCAAAACATATTTGCTAGCTTGAGCATCACCCCAAAGACAATGGAAGTGAGCTAATTATTTTTTTTTAGATATTATTGCAGATATCTCAAATATCTGTGTAACTCTGAAAAGGTTGCTATAATGTAGTAGCTTTGAAAATCAATTCGTATGAGAAAAATTTTGCACTGGAAAACTGTTTTTAGTTTTTTAATTTAACGAGGATTTTGTAATTCTGGAAAGGGAAAGCATGAGAGTGCTGTTTCTTAATTAACAAACAAATGCCAACCTAAGTGCTCTTCTGCATGAATTCTGGTTGAATTACTTTATTCTTCTCTAGGTAGGTGTAGTCACTAGCCTTTCAGAATAGTAAATGTGTGAAATTAATGTGTAATATTTTAAAGCTGTTTCAACTGTCTCTGGATACCTTTTGTTTTCCTGTGTGCTTCTGGGTTTTTAGGTAATCCTCAGAATTTTCAAGCTGGCTGCGAAAGAAATTAAGCATAAATACAAATTCTTTTCTCTACAACCTAGAGTATGCCAAGAGAAAACAAATGTAAATGCCTTTTACATTTCAGAGTGATTTTCTTATTCTTCTGTTCTGGATGAAATGATTTTGAACACTGTAGTGTTAGGCAGATTAATTGCTCAGCAACTTTATACTGGATTTTTGAGCACGTCACTCTCAGTTTGTGATGCAGACCTGCAGAACAGACCTTAACCAAACCATTTGCCATTTTTTGGGATAAAGCGTCTTATCAATTTTTTGTTTTTCTTCTTAGAGCTTACACAAATTGAAGACCCAAGGGAGCAATGGAGAAGGGAGCAGGAACGCATGCTAAAGGAATATTTGATAGTTGCCCAGGAGGCACTTAATGCCAAGAAGGAGATTTACCAAATAAAGCAGCAGCGTTTCGAACTGGCCCAAGAAGAATATCAACAGTTGCACAAAATGTGTGAGGATGACAACCGTTCTTATGCGAGCTGTGAGTTTACCATTCTTTTCTTGATTTGTCATGAATGCGTAACACAACAGATAGGGTAAGAAATGTTTTCACTGCCATATTCTCCTCTCAATGAAGACTCTGAAAACAGAAGTGAGGCACAGCCCTTTATCTCTGCTATTCAGGGCCTTTGGTTGCCTGTTAGGTCTTCTGGTATATAACTTTTTAACATTAAACAGAATGAAAGGCAACAAAGACTGAATATTTCTGGGCCAGCCACCCACATTCCCTCGTAAGTTCATAGATTATTCTGTGCTGTAAACTGAGGAAACCATCATCTTAGGGAAGCCTTCTGCAGATCCGTGGTCACTTTGTTAGCTTTATAAAGATTTAGGGGAAAGGCATTGTGGTCAGAAGCATATCTGATGATATCAGTTAGAATAGCACAAGAGATTACTTTGATAAAGTAGGAAATGGTGTTTCATCAGTGTTCTTGGATGCCAGCCTCTGACTCTAATGCTGGTACTAGGTTGCAAAGTCTTGATGTCCTGCTCTTTTTATTCTTCTTATGTCTGAGGCAGCTTGAAATAGATGATAACACTTCTAAATTTGAAGTTGTGGCACTGCTGTCATTGTTGATGGCTGGTGCAGAAAGAAGGGGTGTTTTTGAGGAGTCAAAACAATCCTCTTCAAAGGAGAAGGGTATCCACCAGCAGTGTGGAAACATAGTGGGATTTCAGTGCACAGGTGGTTTTTCAGTGCCTCTACATACAGCCATTGTTCAAATGCAGCATCTGCTGGTTAATGCCAAGTACTTGGTAAGTATGGGAATCTCTACTTATTCCTTTCTGGAAAAGTTCAAGAAATATGAACGTGAGAGGTCAAAGTAGGCACTGGCATATACGTGTTTAGATTCTGTATTTACTACTCACAGAGAATTCATTCACATGCAAAACTCCTAAATGAAAGATGTTTTCTAGGCATGAGGTGTCCCAGATGGTCCTGACCAGTCTCCATCAAACATTCCTTTACTGTATAAACTGGAATTATCTTTTTATTTAATTTGAAATACAGGTGTCTCTGTATTTTAATTTGTCATATAATGGATGTAACTGGTCTTATTTTTTGCTTTTATATTAAAATTTATTAAGGATTATTAAGAAAATGAATTTTTTTCAAGTTTTTTCAAGTATTTTTTTAGAGAGATGCTCATTTAAAGAGTTTGCGACATGAAGACTTGGAATGGCATAAAAAGACTGCGCTATCAGTGTTTGATTTGCTTCAATTATTTTCTAGGAACTTGGAGTTCTTTAAAAAAATTCACAGTAGTTCAGTGGGAGATCTTGTTGAATTGTACTTCAGGTGAATATGCAGAAAGAAGCTTCTTTGGAAGAAGATCAAAGTTAGAAAAACAGAACCTTTTTCAGATTCTGATGGATCTTAGAAAAACAATTTGCTTGAAACACCAACAAAATATGACTGGAAATGGCAAAGTGGAAAGTTACGTGTAGCATGGATGTGAATGTTCTATTAAATGACTTCTTCCCTTCTCAGACTTTGGGTAGATTTTCTATGTGTGTCCATGTGTTTGTGGCATTGTCAGTATACTGTGAAACTAACCTTTCAGTTGTTTTGATGAGAAAATATGTTTTATATTGTTTTAAGGTCACATGCATCAGCTTTGAGGAAATGAGATGGGCTGATTAGTCTTTTTTTTTTTTTTTTAAATCCCCTTTTTTTTTTTTTTTTAAATCCCCTTGGTGATTATTCATACTGTCTTCTTGAGGTTCCCTAAGGCTTCTCCATTTGTTTTTCTTAATTTTGCCACTCCCCTGCACTCTGAGGTGCTTGATTCTCCACTTCTTGTGCAGAAGTCTTTGACTTGTAACTTGGGTGCAACTAAAGTGCCGAAGGTGGGTGCTTATACTGTGAATATTCCTGCCTCCACTAGCACTTGTTTAAATCTGTTGCCTTAAAAGAGCTAAAAGTACACAAACTGTTTTCCTTCCCTTTGCTTGTGGGTACTGTCATTGACTCAGTGCAGTGTGCTCATGGAGTGGGAGGCAGCATGAGCTCAGCGGTCGTGGGCTGGCAGGGAGGTGCCCATGCAGCACTTCTGTGACTCAGTTGTGATCAGCACTGTTTTTAAAAAAAAAAAAAAAAAATTATAAATAATCCATAGAAAATCCTGGATTTAGAGAATTAGTCCAGGCATGACTACTCATTTTGGCAAGTTCCTGCACGCTTGACATGACCTTGGCATTGCAGTGCTCTTTTGAGAGTGGAAAGGCTCAGTGAAATGCAGACATGGATATGAGTTTCAAAGCAGCAGCAGCCTTTGGCTCTGCAAAAGGATGGTAAGTCTAACAGCACAACCCAATCCACTTGCATACCGGGCATTTTTCAGCAGGCCAGTGCTGCCATGAATGGCTCGCTTAATAAATCATGGTTGGTCTTGCCCAGCCTCTCCTCTAGAACTTTCATTTCATCTGTCTGGGGTTTAGCTGATACTGTCACAGCTTGAAATCATTGCCTGGCTCTAGAGATGCTGTTTTAAGAACTCACTTGCAAGCGGTTGAGCTGAATGTCTGTTCCCTATGCTGTTGTTTTAGGAAGCAACTTCACTATTTCACTGATGGAATTTTGTCCCGACAATAGTTTTTTTATCTTAGTCCCTATTGTAATGTTAACAAACTTAGAAAACAAATAGCAATTGTTAATGTTACACAAATTATTGCATCAGTAAATGCCACCATCCTTTAGTGGAAGCTGTTGGCTTTTGAGCAATACGCAGTGCTGCTATATACAGTTCATTTATTTTCTATTTAGGACTAAATAAGAAACTTCAACCAGACCAAAGATAATTCTTCTGTTGCACTTTAATCGAGAGAATTATTTTAAAAGCAAGTGACTTGTAACACAAAGAGTGAATGCAACGGTCTTTTAAACAGTGCTACATCTTAAGAAGTGTGGTAAAGAAAAAAATAAATATAAAATAATGTTTTCCATCTGTTTAGCATTCTCTGGATTTTCAACTAATACCAAGTATGACCCATATCAGATTAAAGCAGAAATAGCCAGCCGTCGTGACAGGGTGAGTAGTGCTTTTTAATTTTGTAAAATGTGAATTAGGCATGGGGAAGAGAGGGGGACTGTGCGTTTCAGTTGACATTTACATTGGGTGCTGCATGTGTTTTTGAAAAGAAAATATAAAAATATACTCAGGCCTTTGCTACATTAAAAACTCTACATTTATTGCAGTGCAGTGACTTTGAAAGTAATGCTTTTTCCATGTTACAAGCATAAAGTTTTTGTCATAGATGGCAGAGGCGCACCCAGCTAGGCTTTCAGAAATTACTTTCTCTGTGCAGACTGCCGTAAGTAGGAAATATTCTGCAGCAAAATTCTGCCTTGATTGAGTACAGTTCAAACCTACTGTCTTTGTATTTTCTTATTTACCATTTTCAGTGGGTTTCCTTGGATATCATTGAGCTCTAGACTTAGCCATTTGTTTGTAAGTCCATTGACAGTAGACATGCTGACCAAGCAGATCTTCTAATTTTTATCCAAAGTTTGGCTTTTTGATAGTTCTAGGCAGTTCTGGGATAAAATGTTATAATTAATAATAATAATTTTAAAAAACCCCAAAACTATAACCATGGTTTTAGTACTGTCTTGTCTGAAAAAAGAATAGTTGGCTTTAGAAACTGATCTTATGCTGCAAAGATTTGAAGTCTGAAAGTTGTTGAAATTGATCCAATAGTCACGAATGGTTGTAAAAAGCAGTTTATAACACTGAGCTTTAAACCTATTTTCTAAATTGTACATTTCTCTTCATTAACTGGTAAAACGGGATTTAGCGTGCTAGGCACTCAGCTCACAAAATCAATAAAAATCTTATCTTTGCAGGATAGTGTTCTGTTTCTGTTGTAGTGACAGCTTTTCACATGCGTGCCTCTGAAATTAAATCCCGTTCACCACCCTTCGAAGGCATTTATTCTATTTGTGTATGTTTACTACGTGCTGACCAGTGTTTGCTTGTGTTACATACTCTAAGTGTCAGCATAGTCTAAACAAGAAAACAAGCCTTATTTAGTTAAATCATATTTAAAGAAAATAAACAAGGTGTCTTAAAACTGTTTGTCTCTTTTCCTGCATCTCAATATAAAACGATTTCACAAGTGCATAGGACAGTCTGTTCAACTTAATGTGTGTACATGTGGACGTAAGTGCTTCAGGTAATAGAATAAATAGACAAAAATGTGCAGTATCAAGTAGTGGTAGATATTTTTTGAGTCACTGCCATTCTTTCATTTTTGATCTATATACACTCCCTGGATCAAGATGACTGCCAGAGAGGGCAAAAGGCAAGACAGTGTGAAAACACATAGCAAATCAGGGTGCCATTTCTGGAACAAGGATGCCAGTGATTTTATTGTGCTAGACTGAAAAACTAATAGCATTAAACATTTCAGTGTTTCTTGGTTTTGTTTTTTTTTTTTTCTTTTTACACATCTGTTTGCTACAGTGGAAGAAAGGAAGTCATATGAAGCTTTTAGCTATTAGTATAAGCTATTTGAGGTGGAAAAAGAATAGAAAGCATGAGGGAAAAGGTGAATATTGTGGTTGGGTCATTTGATATTTCAGAGGATGTGTTATTTTATTACAAATGTTAAAGCAAAAAAGAAGAAAACGTAGATTATAACTTCCATTTATTTAAAAATGATTTTAAGTTTTGTATTTGAAACAGTTATTTTTTATAATGAAAGTTTCCATTACGTATTATTACTTTAAATTATTTTGGTATATTTAGCTTTCTAGGCTAAAACGAGAATTGGCACAGATGAAGCAAGAGCTGCAATATAAGGAAAAAGGAGTGGAAACTCTGCAAGAGTAAGTTAAGGGTTTGTGGGAGGCTGATTTTTTTTTTTCCCCCCGTCTTGGAATGACTTGCTCAGGAAACTATTGCCAAAAAAAGAAAAAAAGAAAGTTTCTAATTGCTCTGCTTCAGAGTTTCTGCTATGATAATGGTGCACGTTGAGAACAGTGTGCAATGATGGAAGAAGGATTGGACAAACTTAGGTGAAAAGGTGATTTCAGAGATCCACATGCAAAAACACTTTTATAGGTACCGTCCTTCCATTCTGCCTGAAAATGAATCACATTTTAAAAGTGTACTCCAAGCATCTTCTGAAAATGTGTATTGTCTGGAGCCCAATCAGAACCACTGTGCAATGGGATAGTGTTTCTGTGAGCAGCACCTCAGCTTTGTGGCAGGGCAAAATATTTCTAATGGGTGGGAGCCTGAACACTGCAATACTACTTCTTCCTTTTCCCTGAGGGTCAGACCTTCCAATTCTGGGGAGCATAGCTGATGTGTTCATGTGCAGTAGATGTAAAGCTCTGTGAGACCTTGGATTTTGTTGCATGAGTGCAAAATGACTGCATGTAAATATGACCCCTTGTTTCCTCTCTGGAAGGAGAGGTAGCTGAGGGAGCTCAGGGCAGTTTGCTACTGCTCCCAGACCGTTAGATAGCCTGTGCTCTTGTTTCCTTCACGCTTGCTGATGGCAAAGGTTGCAAACTGTTGTGGTAACCCTCTACCTGCCACTCTTCCTGCAGGCCATCAGATGGGAACTGAGAGACTTCCATCTATGTACTGCTTAGTCACCTGCACTCATAGCACATATGCAGGAAGCCCCGTGTAATAGGGAGAAAGATTGCCAGGCCGTGGAAAAGGTGGCAGGTAAACACACGTTGTTGTGAGTTCCAGATCTGTTCAACAAGCCCAGAGCTAGGCTGTACGTTGAGCAGCTCTTGGATTTGCTTTGGACGTGTGGCTGTGCATTTAGAAATCTTGGCCATCTCTCCAGCATGCATGCAAACAAACTGCCTAATGCAAGCGCTTCTTGAAAAGTTGGAACTGTTGCATGTATAATGCATTTTGCAGCATAAGTACAGCATCTGTGGAAATACTTGGAAGCTTTGGATTTATTGTGTTGGTGCTGTGAAGCATGGGCACACACTTCTGCTTTGGGAATCCTGGCTAAGCTCCAGAGGTCCCAGAGCAATTAGGTTCCTGATTTTCCAGCTTAGACAGAGTTAACCAAAGATAGCACTACATTAACTAAACTGTATAAAGGAAGATACTCAGTTCTTTCTGTTAAAGGAATAGCCTATGCATTTCATATTTTTCATCCCATTTACAAGGTTCTTTTGTTTTTTAATGAATTTTAAAAGCTTCAGGGGAAAAAAAAAACAACAAAATGTGTCGAGCCAAAATCCTTCATTAGCAGGTATAATGTAATCATTCTCAGGCATAAATATATTTTATTGACTACACAAAATATTTACAGTTAGCTGTAGGAGAATTAACTGAATTCATAATTGTAATGTCAAGCAGTCTGTGTTTTGAAAATGCAAATATTTTAAGACTGATCAATGTTTCTGGGTAGTACCCCAGTTAAGTAAGAAGTAAGAGCAAAACCAGTTTTGTCATAATATTCTCCATCATATTTTCTTTGAGTAAAAATTGTCTTGCCTTTCTGCTTTGGTTATTTGTTTTCCTCCTCATTTCCACCAGGCATTTTTGAGATAATAGGTCCAATTATTTATAGGTTCAATTGCTTTTATAAAAAGACTACCCACTTGAGTGGGGAGGTGAAAGTACTTGAAGGCCATTTGAAATTCAAGATTGTTTCAATTAACATAATTAATTTAAGATAGCCCAGCGAAGTAGTGCAACTTACTGAGAAGTAAAGTCTGCAAATGATTATGAATACAAATGTTTGTCTTGGATTTTAGCCCAAGTTAAGTTGCCCGTATTCCAGGATGGGGATACAGGAGAGACATTCAAGAGAGAAGTCGATTCAAGGCGAGCCCTGTGTACCCGATCAGTCAGTGGTGGTAATAAATCAGCTGGTTTAAGAGTTCAGGCATGACAGCTCAGTGCTTCAGTGCTGCTTCTCATTGCTGCTGCTGCAGTCACTCTGTCTGGTGGTGCTCTGGGTGGTGCTCAGTGCCATTTGCTGTAGCTGGTGACAGCATTTTGCCAGCGTTCTTTCTGATGTTGCAGTGATCTGTGTTGTGAAATTAGTGTTTGTGGCTTGCTGAGCTCCACTCTCTGAGGTGAATTCTGCTTTTGTTTTGGCTTTTCAGGTAATTTTTCAGTTTCTTTTCTTTGAATTATTACGCTTCCAGTAGGAAATGAGCCTATTTGGATAGTGTTTGTGCTGTCTAACAACTGCAGAGAGAAGTTTCTCTAGCCTCCTTGTGTAGTCAGGAGAGAGGATGGTTTTGTAGATAGATGGCCAAGGCTGTGAGTGTGCCTGTGCTCTGGGCTGTCCCTGCCCTCTCTCCTTGGACTCTTATTCATCTAGGGAAAAGGAGCACTCCAGTCAAGTACTGAAGCTCAAGAATTTTACTTTCTGCATATCCACAAAACAAGCGTGCTGTTTGAAAAGAGTCTTGTCATTCCTTTTCTAAAAGAGAAGTATTTCATGTTCCTTTTTTTTTTTTCTTCTGTTTTTTCTTTTGTGAAGACTCGCGCATTCCAGGCATTTCTCCCTTTTTGTAACCTTTTCTAAATTTTGGGTCTTCATATTTTTTGTTCCTTCTTGTGTTTGGTCAAATCGTCAAGTAACTGCCAGACTGAGACTGGCATGCATCCTGTTCAGCTGTTTTAAAGCCATGTTCTTCACTTTATTTTAAGTATGTGCCAAGAACAGTACTGGGAGTTGTCACACTTCAGGCTTTATATCTGGCTGAAGGCTTGCTTTGAACCTCTAAGCAGCCCAGTGCTGGCAGCAGGTATCAGAACCAACACAGCTCTGTGTTCAACCACTGCTGAGTTTTTAATAGCTTTGCAATTCCATTATAGTCAGAATTCCAATATCTGTAGTGCTGCAACTTTTCATTCGGGCTGTATTTTCTCCACTTTCATCCAAATTTGGCAATGTTATGATAAGCCTTCAAATGTTACGGCCTGCCCGTGCCCACTGGAGACTTTCTGGAGCTCAGTATTTCAGTCCTGCCTCTCTCCCACCCTGCGTGATCTCCTTCTCTGCTCCTTGGTCTCTAGGGGTGCCTTTGCCCCAAGGTGCAGCCGATCCTGTTAAAGCTCGGGGTTAGGGAGTTAAACTTGAGCCTTTTCTGGAACATATTCCTTCATCTGACTGTTAGGGCATGAGGATGAGGAGCAGCTCTTTCTCTCCCATGTGTTTTCAGTGACCCTTCTGCTTGCCAGGAGGAAGAGCAGAGGATTTTGGAGGAAGAAGGCGTTTAGCAGCAAAGGAAATGAAAACCCAGCCAGTTGGCTGCGAGAGCGGAAGGAATGCTCAGAGAAAATGAGGAGAGATGGGGAATTAGGGCTGACTAAACAATTTATAGCTATGCACGAGTTCAGAGGATATGAGAACTGACAAAAGCTTTAAAATTAGATTTAACTCAACTACAGACATACACTTTAATGAGGACTGGAGGAGGAGACTTATGAATTTGAATGATGTGGCAGCAAACAGAGTGGAGACTGCTGTATGGGATCAAAACTATTGTGAGTGTGTTAGTAGCCTACTTGTTCTGGAAACATCTTCCTGAGAAAATGTGTGCTTCATTCATAGTTGAGTATTACTTGAATGCTCTTCCTGTTTGTATAAAGGACTAATCTGCATTTCCATCATGCTCTTTCCCATTAATAAATGGAAGATTCCTGTTAACTTTGTGGCTTTCAAAACTAGAGCTTTGTGAACGGAAGAAAAAAAAATGAATGGGCAATAAATAACGTAATTTTGTAAAATATTTGAGGCTGTTTGGATGTACAGCAATACTGATTTAAGCTGTGATATGTCTGGCAGTAGAGTCTTTTCTGATTCTTTGCTTAAACAAATACCAGTTTCTAAGTTGGGCTCCAAAGTGACGTCCAGGAACATTAATTTGTGGGTAACTGGACAAAAATCTGGTTGAAATTAAATAATTTCCTCTTCCTGTAATGCCACCTTGTACCTGCCAAACAGTATAATGAACAGTTGTGTAGGAGACATTTCCTGGTCTAGAATTTGGGTGGAATCTATGTTTTTAACATTAACATAACCTTCAGATAAAACCACATTATCATTTTCATGAAACTTCTAGTCAATCGGAGTAGTTGTTTGGCCATGGTTTTACCTAATCTTTTCAGGATTTTAAGTAAAAATGAATGAAGACTCAAGCAATCATCTGAAAAACAGAACAAAGCAGAACTTTAAGGCACATGATTTTAAGTATCTTCTGCTTTTTGAAACATAAATCAGAAAGGCTTATATTATGTTTTCATATGCAACATGGGCAAAATTGAGCTTAAGCAGAAAGTTGAGGTTCAGGCTTATACTTTGCGTTTTGTCCAAAGTCGGGACCTGACAGAAAAAAACAAACAAAGCAGAACTGCGGAAACCCAGCCTGTAATTTGTCCTGAATGTTGTGAGCTACACAGTAAAGCCACAGGAGTTTTATTCAAGCATTTAGTTTTTCTTATTAGGATTTTAATATTTTAATTTTAAAGTAAGTAATCTGCTGCAAGTAGAATTTTAGTGATTTGCTTCACTGACAGAACAAACTGAGTGAGAGTGAGAAAAGTTTTTGTGTAGTTTAAATTGCAAATGCATTTGTGTTCTTGGTACCACTTAAATATTCTAAGAATACAAGACAGTTACGAGGTTTCTAGATTTATCTCCTATCCTGTACTACAACGCAAGAGGGTCTTTTCTGACAGTTCGTTTTTTCACAGACTAGGATTTATGCACTATTTTTTATGCTTTTTTAAAAAATTATTTGTTATTTCTAGCATAATATACCTTGAAACTTTGAGTTACTCTCAATATTACACAAAATTCTTGTCATCATTATCTAGGACATCTCTTACTACTACTTTTTATAAACTGATGTTGTATGTAACACCTGATGGCTGCATCATCTTTTTTATCCAGAGATACCTTCTGAAGATGTTTGTTCCTAGGATTGGTGTAGGGACCATTACACGTACCAACTTTGTTTGGAAAAATATTCATTTACGCAAAATGTGTAAATACACACCTGCACATACTTTATATGTTAGACTAACAGGTAAATTGGGGCCTTCATACCTCAACAGGAATTTAACATTATTTTCACAAATTGCTTTAGGTAGGCCGTTAAATCCTGTAGTTCTTCTGGAAAGTTTTGTAGAGACTCTGGGAATGTGATTCCAGCACCTCTCTGGGCAGCCTGTGCCAGCGCCTCACAACTACTTCTGCGAAGAAGTTTTTCCTAACATGCAACTGAAATCCCCTCGGTGCAACTTGAGGCTGTTTTCCCTAGTCCTGTTGCTAGTTACATGGAAGAAGAGGCTGACCACCAGATGTGTGTGCGGGGAGATCATAGAATCATTGAATAGCCTGGGTTGAAAGGGACCGTAAGATCATCTAATTTCAACCCCCCTGCTATGTGCAGGGTCACCAACAACCAGACCAGGCTGCCCAGAGCCACATCCAGCCTGGCCTTGAATGCCTCCAGGGATGGGGCATCCACAACCTTCTTGGGCAGTCTGTTCCAGTGAATGATATTGTCCAGAGACAATAGATGATGTTCCAATATAACAGATTATATTCCAAGATGATATTGTCTAGAGAAGATACTCAAAGATGTCTGTAGTGAAGGGAAAGCATTTACAATAACTTTTTTGGAATATAAAATTTCTCCCAAAAAACAGAATGCCTTCATTAGGAGCCTCTAAAACAGGATCAGACAGAAGTCTTGGAAGAGATGTTCAAATGTGCAGTGATGCGTCTGAATAGTGTTGGCCTGGCTGCCAATGTCTTTTCAGTTATTATTGTGTACGTTAGTTTTAGGTTGATTTTACTTTTGTTGTGTAAAGTAACCTGCAAATGTTGCCTTTGTAAATAAACTCTGTACTAGGGGAGGTTAAAAATGGAAAATCTGTTGGTTTTGCAAAGCTGAGTAGGTAATTGCATTGTTCTAGCTTTAGAGTGTACTGGGCACTGAATGCTGTGCTTCTTCCCAATAGAATGTAATTTTATTCTTGGAAATGAAGTGGTACATGAATAAACAAAAGGTCTTAAAATATTTGTGGTGTTTCTAATTATATGAAAATTCTTGAACTTGTCTTTGTCTTTTCAACAGGATCGATCGTAAGATGTCAAGCGCTCATACAAATTACAGACTGGATGAAGCGCAGGCTATAATGAGTGAGCTACGAACCATAAAGAAAGCCATATGCACAGGTGAAAAAGAGAGGCAGGACCTTATGCAGGTAAAAAAAATACACAACTCCCGAAATGTGCAGTCTATTTCCATTTCCTTGTTGGTGATTGTGTTGGGATTTCCAGGTTTAAATAAACAAGCATGGTGGCCAAATTTGGTTATTCTGTTTGATGGTTGCTAATGGCAGACTATTCAAAAGAAGTAGATATGGAGCCTTATGTTCACAATATACACAATATGAGTTTCATATTTTCGTTGTAAATAACATACTGTTCTTAACATTGAGACCAATGTTTTCGTTTAATATAGCATTCCACTACTGCTGTGTCAAAGACTCCTATGGAATTATTGTGCTGTATTTAAAAACAAAAATGAGACCAGCAGTATATGTTTTTCACTTTGTTTAATGTCCCCTTGTGTTCCCTGTGAAGAAGTAGCATTGAGAATCCATGTTCTAAAGGTTTATCAGCTTGTTTTTTCCTTTTATGAGTTTCTCATAAAACTGGATCTCTGTCACTATGTGACAGTTCAGCAGCTCTTTTTTATAAAAAATTTTTTTTCTTTTTTGCTTCAGTCTTTCCTCCAAAGTGTTTGTATTAAGAGAAATTAATTTCAAATGTCCTCACAAAACCCTCAAAGCATATGTAGAGTAAAATAGATAATATATAAATAGATAAAATCATCATGCAAGCTTAAAATTTTTTTTTGAATCTGAGTATGAGGATTAAGGGAAGGTGTTGGATCACTGCTTGGGCATGTCTTTGAATGACTTCTGCATCTGCTCTGAGCTCTCACCTGCTGTGTCTGCATTATCAGTATGACAATAACTTGACTGAGCCATGATCCTTTGCCACTGCAGGAACTTTGGTACAGACTTGCTGAAACATGCTCTGGATACAATATTCCTCACCTCATTCTGAAAATGCTGTATGGAAAAAAATATTTTCATTACCTAAGTTTTTGGGACTGCACTAAATTATTACTGCCATTCCTTTTTTTTTTGTTTTTTTTTTTTTTTTTTTTTTTTTATTTTTTTTTTGAAATATTATTTTTTTTGGTTTTTTGTTTTTTTTTTTTTTTTTTTTTTTTTGGTTTTTTTTGTTGTTGTTGTTGCTGTTAAATGATGTGGGTAGCTTGTAATCTACATACAATAAATTTCCATAGTTATACAATTATTCAATCTCCAAAGTATTACCCGAAGGTCAGCTGATGGACCACAAATCCTTGTTCAAGTAGACAGAACACTTAAGTCACTACTAAAAGTTTCTGCCTTGGCAGCTTTTAACATACTTGATATTTTGTGTTGGCTAGGTTTTAAAGTGATTCTCAAGTCTTCCACATGCCTAGCTAGCAAAAAATGATTAGAAAGGCAGTTCTTCATGGATGCTGTGACGCACATTTTAGGAAACTAACGGGTAATTTAAAATCTTGTGTGTGAGACCTTGGAACAGCTTAACTACTGGCCTTGTTTCGACTCTCTTGGTAGTTTTTAAAAAATTTTTTTCCCCCCATTTCTTTAGATTTTCAATCCCCACTGGCACTATATCCAGTGGTAAACATTAAGATGCCTTAAAATCACATCTCATAAACCAATTTTAGGTGCAGTTGCATAGTCTTTAAGTATACATAGGTCACTCTGAAAGTAACACTTCTTGTTTATTACCAAGGAAGTAACATCAGATAGAAAGAGCACAACACTATTTGATAGAGCAAATTCTCAGCTACAGAACTCTGTTTTTCAACAACCACCATTAGCATATGGACAAGAGCCTGCATATTCTTTCATTTACTGTTTTTTGAAGATAATTGTTGTGGAGTCGTTTAGCTTTGGCAAACAAGTGAAAGTCTGTTTAAAACATCTTTGTAATGAGTTGAGAATTTGATGAGGTTTTTTTTCCCTATGGGTTTGGAAATTGATTTGTCCACAAAAGCGCTATCTTTAAAAGCTATTGTTGGTAAGACAAGCTTTCTTACGGAAAATTGTCTGTTTTGAATGCTGTTTATAGATGAGTTGGAAGTATTCTGTAAACAGCTGGGAATTTATTTCAGAGAAAGGAAATAGAAAATTTTATACTACTTCTTAATTTAAATCTGGCCAGTGTAAGCAACAGAACTAAACATAGCAAAAGTGACTCAGTCTTGTGTAGGTGCTTGGAAAATTGTGGCTGTCGTAGAAATATGATAATTGGGTAGAGCTGTGTGGGAGAGAAGTCTGACAAGGGAAGCAGAGGGTGGTCGGATTTAAACTGGGTGCTGTGGTTACAAATAAAGCCAAATATACAATCTCACAGCTCCAAAAAAATGGACAAACTTTTTATATAAGATTAGTAATCAAGGTGTGTGCTTATGTTCCTGAAAGCTGTGTGTGTGTCTCTTTTCCCCCTCCCTTCATGCTTTAATTCCTGTTCCAGTATGTTCATGTTCTTCGAAAATGTTCTTTCTTAGAAAGCATTGGAGAGTTTTTGTTATTTTGGTTTTTTTTAATTTTTATCATTTTCTTCTTTATTATTTCCTTCTTTACCATTTAAATGAACCAAATAGGTTAGATAAGAACTACATTGAAATGTTATGTGCCACCAAAGTCAGCTAGCAACAAATTACTTATGAGATGGCAGTGCTCTCTTTTTGGATAGATTTTGACTGGTGTGTCTGCAGCTTCACGTCCATGCATTGAAGTGGTCTTTCAGTTTCTGTAAGATTACCATTAACAATCCATCCATAAACCTCAGATGAAAGAGAGGTTCTCTCTTCCATATTGCTGGGGAGGATTTTTCTCCTAGTAGCTGATCTAAATTGTTTCTATGGAAAAGTGTGCTAACTTTAGGTTGTAATTTTTCATGTTATGATCGCTGGAGGGTATGCTTTTAATTCATCCAATTAAGAAGGACTCAGAGGACTTCTCTACTTACCATAAAGCACAGTCACCTATTCACGTAGATGTAAGTTAAGGTGATTGCCACCTGCAAAATGCTATGTCATTTGTTAGTAAAATCCAGAGTTCAGCAACTGTGCCCAGATAGGAAACCTGGCCAGCATCCAAGCAGTCCCTTATTACCTTCCAGGGAGATGCTGGAGTGGGAGGTCAGGAGCGCAGCAGGAGTGCATGAAGTAGCTGAAATATGGGCAAAAGTTTAGATTTAAGTTCTGGCATCAGGACCTGTGGTGCCTGTAACATAATACATATACCTGTAGCAGAATGTATGTTAGCCAAAGGTGCCAGATGGACATAGCTTATTTGGGAGATACTTCAGGCTTTCTGAATCCCTGGTGATCATGAGATCAGCTCTGCTTTACTGGAAAAAAGAACATATTAGACATTTGATATTTGTGCAGCAACAATTTAAAATAATTATTTCCATCTCATAAATCCACAAGGGATCCATCTCAGTTCTCCATACAGCAAGAAACTGACAGGACTGGGTGATTTGCAGTGAGTTTTGGAGCACTGAGTAGAAAGATAATATTCAGTCATCTTAAAATGGCAGACACCCTGGTTTTCTTTCTGCATCTTTGTAGAGCTGTTCATCTGGCAGCAAATCTCCAGAAGTTAAAGGGCCACTGGCTGGAGATTTAGTGGCAGCATAACTCAAAATTGAATTTTGGTTTCTTAGGATGACTGTTTCATTTGTCCATCATGCTAAGATGGCCCAGTTTGACTGGGAGGTAGCAGAAGAATTGGATTCTTCTGGGGACCCAAGACAAGCCTAGCTCCTTAGTGCAAGAAACCATCACTGTTTCTGCTGCCTGGTTTTCAGGCCTGCTGCGATTCCTAAGGCTGCTTTCTGATCTCTGTAATAGATGCCTTTGTCTTCAGGTGGCAGCAAGGGGCTTTTGCAGCTCCTGTAAGCAGCAGCCAGTTGCTGTTACACAGGCTTATCTTCCTTACTCCATTAGTTGAATTTGTTGTAGGAAAAGGAAGTGTTGCTGTATGATCCAGGGTATCCTTTTTAAACTGCTCTTTGAAAATTGAGGACTATCCTGGTAACTGGATATGCACAGTAACTGGTGCTTGTTGCAAATTGTCAGTTGTCAGAGGCACTGAAATTCCTGAGGGTCAGCGTGTTGCCATTGAGCTGCATCTGCTTAGTCTCTGATTCTCTGATAGTTTGGCCAATGCAGTAAGCGGTTTTGAGTTTTTTTTCTGGGGTATTTTTGCAGTCAGCTGACTTGACTACATTATGATCTATGAGCTGATACAGTTCATATAATTTATTTGCTTTTTCCCTTCTGGTGGGGGGGGAGTAGGAGCAGTATTTATTTTTAAAGCATTTTTTTAAAAAGTTCTTTTGATGCAGCATACTCAGGATCTTAGTCATTAGTGACAGCCTGCATAGCAGTTTCATCATAAACAGTAAATCATCTGTGATTTCTGAAAAACAGAGAATACATAATCAGAAAATAAGTGGCAGTGATAATTGCACCTTGTTATTAAAGGAATTTTAAGAGCCTGCTGACCAAGTTCTTACAGTCAAACAAACTTCTCTAATTTTGCTTGACTTTGTTGCTCCTTTTCTCCTTTAAGATTGCTGAAGTCTGTGCTTCACCCTCACAGTTTATGTCATTGTCTAAACATTTCAGAGATGTTGCTTGCTTAACCCAAAGTGTAAAATATCTCTGTGAATGCTGGGCAAGGGAGCCCAAGGGTGAAATCAGCTGCCATAAGACCACAATCAATACAAGCTATTCATCAAGTTGTATGTGAAGGCATTAGTGGCTGAGGAATGTAACCTGGGCAGAAGATGGCAAAAGGGCAGGTGAATCACATTTGTCTTTCATACCAACAAACTTGATATGTAAGCTGACAGTTGCTAGATTGTAGGCCATACAAAAACTAAAACTTTCATAGACCTAAAATAAATTGTAAAAATGAGATTAAAAAATATATATATCTAGATGTTTCTTTGAAAAAAAATAATTATTGCAAAGCAAAGGTGCTTCTTATTAGCTGATAAAGCTGATAATGTTATGAATTTTATTTAATGCGAATACCTCTTTTAAGGCAAGCTACCTATATGAAGTTATGCTCTCTAGGCAGAATTCATTTCTGTTTTTCTATTTAAAAAGGTATTATCAAAATCTGTTGTTACTATTTTTTTTAATGTCTTTTCTTGTAGAGCCTGGCCAAGCTAACCGATGGATTCAGGAATAGCTGTTGCATTACAGATTCCCTGCAGGATCTCCAGCACAATTCTAGTTCACTCAGTGATTCCTGTTTACCTCAACAACACTGCGATGCTTGTTCTCAGACTGACATCACTGGGGAGGTATGTATTCCTATGTGAGCCATTTGCTTTAGAAAATCAGCTGCTTTTTCTATTGGAATGATACTTTGTTACTTCCTGTTTTAATTCAGTACATGTTAGCTGTGGTAGAACAAAAAATCCAAATGAATATTCCTTGGTGAAGGATTTGCATTTTCTTATTGCTCCCGGAGCATGTGAATGGTGGGCTTTGCCATTCTACTGCTTGAGCATGGTGTAGCTCATAGGTGGGCAACAGATACAGTCAGCTTGGTAGTAGAGATGGGAGTTTGTTTCTTTTAATCTTGTTTTTATCTTGATTGTCATTGTTTGCACACATCAAAGACACAGAGTGAACCTCTGTTCCTTTCATTTTCCTGTGACAAGGAAATACTTATTCAGTCCCAAAATATTTTTCTTAAACAACTAACAAAGTTTCTGGTCTACTTTATTATAGTTTTATGTTCAGATATGCCTTTGAATAAGGTGTTTGAAAATGACTTATCATCAGTCTTCAGAGATAGTTCGGTGTGAATGAAAGAGTATATTTCAAATGACTCTGTAACTGTGGCAGCCTAGCATTTGCTTCTTTGGATGAGACTGACAACAGAGCAATAAGAGAACCTGTTCTGTAGTTTTATAGTACCATAGTTAGTGTGTTACTTTGTATTCAGCTATTTCTGTTGAACTGTGTAACTTCTAACCATAGGCTTTTATCACTTCATTTTGATTTCGTTACCTTTTACTGATGACTAGTAGCCAAGCTGAATACCTCTAGAGGACCTCTGTGTAAGAGGAAATCTGTATTTTTAATAGGTTAATCCCGAAGTATCTAAGAAAATTTATTTAACACCAGAATTTCTTGCAGGGTGTTAGTTAAATGGTGCCTTTGGGGTGCCATTTTTCAGGCTGATGCTGGATATGATTAACGAATTCCAAAACAAATTACCTAAAAGGAAAATTGCAACATTTTGCCATTCACAGTATACACTGAGTGCCTTCTAAGACGAGCCAACTGTAGTCAGAAGATTATTTTTAAGTTAAGTGTTTTTTCTTAGGAACATAAAATTGTATAATGAGGTTAATTATTTTCCTGAATTATTAGTGATGGAATGTGAGTAAAGAAGAGGTGGCTTTTTACACATGTGATGATGAAGAGAGCAAAAGAAGCAGTTAGATAGCAAATCTAGAGGTGCAGCAATGAAGAGGGCAACTACTGAAGCCCTAACATGAAGAGAGGTTGTTGTAGAAACCAGGCTGTATACAGAAGGACTTGTAACATATACGCATTTTTTGTGACTGACTGATTCAAAGAACAGGTAATGTTTTTGTAATAGTGTTTAAATCACACTAATGATCTAAGTGCTGGGTAATACATTGCAGTATATGGTATGTAGTCTGAATTATTTCTTATTAAACTATCCCTTAAGTAATAAAATATTTCAGTTAAAACATACTTGTTATAATTTAGGCTTGCATAAAGTTGAAAAGCTTTGATGTTTTGTAAGTGATACCGTTTGCAAGCCCTTCATTTCCTGTATCGTAATTTGTTGAAAGGGTTCACTTGTCTTTTATATGTTTAGCTACAAACCAGAGTTGTATGTCTGAAGCATAAAATTGATTTTGGTTGTTGTTATTCAAAACATTCACAGTTTTTAGTTAGGCCAGTAGGAGAGACTAATTTAACCCTTTATTTTGAGAATGTATTTAAAATCTCATTTAAAATCTCATCTGTTTCCCCCCCATCTTTACTCTTCAATTCTGCAAAAGTTTGGATTCGATGATAAAACAAGACTTGTAGACAAAGTAAGACTCAACTGGCAGTATGAAGAAGCCAAGAAAAGGTAAATAAAGACAAAATTGGTATTTTTTATTTTTACTTATGTTGTCAACGTTTTCAAAGTAGAGCTGGAGCCAGTCTCCTAACTGAAATGTCTTGAGGAAGATTAACATGCTTACTGTGCTTACTTCTGATGGTTTGGAGGTAATAAAAGCTTAGGTAAACGTAAAACCTTATCGTAAGATTATTATATTTGTTTGCATAGATAAAACTGAATGTCAGTGCTATTGTACACTTGTACAAACAAGAGGCTGCAGTAGTTTAATTGAGCTGTTTATTTTTTCTTTATTCTTTTCAAGCCTCACTATAAACGGTCTTTAATATGCACCCGGTTTGTATCTGGCTGTCTCTGTCAGTTTGTTCAGAACTTTACATGCCTGTGATTTGAATTCTGAATGATGAAGTACTAAATGCAGTGTGAAGCAGAATGAAAAAATTCTTGAGATAAGTAGACATTCATAGCTGAATAAAAAGGCACATAAAAATAAATTTTGAGGATGAAAAACATACGAAAAAATGTTTTTAAATTAACTTGGAATTAATTAATTCTTTATCAAGTCTTTCAACCTACTTACTTATTATAATTACTTATTTCTTTTGTGAAGTCCTGCAGATTTTTTTCATGGCTTTCTGAAAGTAACCTCTCTGATTGAGAATTATTTTAAAAGTATTACATACCGGTGTAGTTTAATAGGCACTTCTTTAATCTTGCTGCTTTCAAACTATTTGTTGCATGCTCAGGACAGTGGTGTAGGTGCAGATGATAGCTTGAACATGGTAACTTTATGTATTTATGATCACGTTCATATGCTCTGGTAGAATGTTCTCTACCTGAAATTGACTGGCACTTGAAAGATCCAGTTACAGTCAGTTCTGAGAACCTTATTTTATTAAATTTGTTTTTCAAGTTGTTTTTTTTTTTTTCCTTTTCAATTTTGTCTGTTTTTCTGTCTCTAAAAACAAGGGGTAAAGACAAAGTCCAGTACTCTTGCCTGTTTTTCACACAGTGATGGCTTTTTTTGAGGAAAACTCTTGCGTTGTCATGTGTCTTGGCACAGATTGGAAGCCTAATAGGCAATTTACCATTTTTTTTTTTTCTTGGAAAGTTTGCCCACATTTGGATGCAATACAGGCATAGAAAAAGAAATTGATGCAAGCACATTAGAAATACACAGCTAAATTTCTTCAGCATTTGTAACTGGAATAAAAGTCTGCATTGTAAAATGCATTATGTGGGTACCAGTGACTATTACCTATCAAAAATTAATTAGCTGGAAGAAAAAAGGCAAAACAAAAGGCTGTATGTGTAGTGTTTGGTCAGAGGTTGACCCATAGGCACATCACAGCCCAATGGTAATTTAGGATTACATGACAGTTGTTTTAGGAAATAGAATAGGATTTAGTTTTGCACTGTTAAGTTTAGGAGAAATACCAGTGCCCTAAAGATTGTATTAAAAGTTCTTAATTTAAGTTTTCTCAGGTGGAAATGCTGAGTATTTGTTTATATACAGAATGCAATATTTCTGAACATGAAACCGATTTGGCTTCTGACATTAATTTCAAACAGAGAACAGTGATTGCAGTAAGGGTGGTTTGTTGTCCTGAAATAGCAGCTCCAACAATGCTCTGTTATTTAGCAAAAGCACGTTAGTTCCTTTAAAATAGTAGCCTTATTTTGCCCAGTATGTTGTACAGAAATAATCAGCTTTCAGCTTTTGAGTGGAACTGCACAAAGCTCATTGCCCCTACCAGTTATCTCTGTGGTTGCATTCTTCATTTATCATGCATTCCTTCCCCTTAGCTTGCTGGCATTTCTGTAGGGCTTTTGTCTCTACTAAATATCTTTGTGCTCATTCTGCCTTGGCTGCTGAAATATCTACTGTTACTGCGCAGTGTGGGTGACGGAATGTGCTGCCATGGATTAAAATCTACAAAGTAGAAAATTAAAATGCTACAGTATATCACAACTGTAAAACAGTATATTATGACTGTTTGCTTGTCAAGCAGGGTGTAAAATGCATAGCAAACAAGTTTAGCAGGCAAACTGCCTGTATGTCCAAGTTTTAAGGTAGGGCTTTAAAAGTACTCTGGAAGAAAAAAAGCATTTTTCTTCCCTTAAAGGAAAGCAAGGGGAAAATATATCCCCTAACTGAAGGGCAGCATGTTGCATTTTTGCCATAGATGATAGTATTGATAGTGCTAATGACAGCTTTAGATGCCAACTTGACGGCAAGAATACTTGCCGTGTGTAGTGCAGAAGTTTTTTAAAATCAAAGTACATTCTCTGTGTGTAGTATTTTAGTGAGAAAATGCAGCGTTGGGATTTCTGGCTGACCCACCTTGAGAAATGTGGGAGATGAACCTAGTGATAGTGGGGAAGTTGGTTTATATTCCTCAAATATCTTTCCTCCTTTATGAAATATACTTTGACTTTTATTCCTCCTTTAAAAGTCTCTCCAAGAGTGCTGAGTGGTTTGGTCTTTGCATAAATAAGACATTTGCAGAGCTTTTTTTTTTTTCCTTTTTTTTTTTTTTTTTCTTCAGCTTCCTACTGGAAAGAAGTCAGATAATTTGCAATTTAATTTTTCCCATGAGTATCTTCAGATGCTGTGAGCTGTGGATTCCGACATCTTCAAAAAGCTGTAGAAATCATCCTTTATCCTGCGTCTGTTCCAGTCTCTGAGAGGAGACGTGGAAACTCCACTTTTTATTTCAGCTGTCCTGCTGAGCAGAGGGGCTCCTGCTCTTTACCGTTCTCTTCTCCCCCCATTACTGTTTAAATAAACTGTACCTTATTTCCGTGAAAATGTTTCTTTCAGATCTGTCAGTGTGGCCCTCCAGAGAAGCAGAGGGAGGGAGGAAGACATTTTTGAGCAGACAGCCCCAAGCTGCCTGGATAAATACTGTTTTCAGTTTCAGTTGCTATTTCAGTGAGACCACCTCTCATGAAAAGCATTTGCATGCTGGAAAGTGTCCCCCTCAAGCATTTTTCTGAATAGACTGTTTCATAGAAAGAGAAATCAAAAGCAAATTGTTTCTCTTTGATACCTCAAAGTTGTACCATTTCAAGTAATGACTGCACAAAGGATATTGGTGAGTGATGATGAAATGTCACTGCTACAGCACCTCATATGCTGGGAAGTGAATTGATCAACAGATGAAAAATTATCCCTCCAATAATAAGTACTGGCATTAACTGATTTTTATTTTTTTTTTTAATCCAGTCTGATGGCAGCTGACTTTAAGTGAACAGAAACATCCAAGTATCTTCAACCAGTTTATCTAATTTGGGTGCAGAAATTTCTTTACAGTCACCTGCATTTTCAATTTTGGAGATGTTATTTTCCAATTCAATTGTTTAGAGCATATGGAGGCTTGAAAAAAACAAAACAAAATAATTATGTATTTTTCTGTTAAAATTCATCCTGTGCAGGCAAGTTGCATGTATAAGCAAATTTATTTGCTTAATTTTTAGTGAAATTCAGTGGACTTGTATGTTTTACTCTTCTAAACTAATCTGAAAATCTGATTTAAGGATGAAGTAATTTGTCTGATATCCCATAAATATCCGGCTTAGGAATGTTAGCTAAATTTAAATCTCACAGTATTAACTTTTAAGCATACAGCTGTCTTTCTCTTTGGGTTAGTACTGTAGCATGGCTCTGCTCCCTCTATATCTTTAAAGTTTTCATTGTACCAATTTAAATGTGAGTTAAGGAAATCCTAAATCCTCTCCACCATTGGTTTTAGCAGGCTTTATTTTGAAGGTGAATAACTTATTTTATCTGCAAAATGCCAATGGACTCTAAACCAGTTTAAGACCTCTTTGTTGAAACAGGCTGCCAGAAAGGCTGGATATCCTACAGAGTGTACTTGTGTTGTCCACCAAAGCCACAGTGGCACATACTTGCAGGAACAGCCAAAGTAGACACAGTTGAGAAATTTTATGAACTTTTGGCTAAGTTCCCCAACTCCTTGTTCTTTCCATTTCTCTCTTCCTCTTTCCCTAGCCTTCCTCTTTTTGAATATAATTTGTAATTCACTCTCCCAAGGGCCTATAAATACCAGAAATTACCTGGCTCTAAAGCTATTCGCTTCGTGTCTTCTGTCCCATAACCTTGGTGTTATACGGTGGTAGAAGTTGCCTGCTGGCTGAAGTGGCAAAGAATTGAGTTAGGATCTGACCATAAGTCTCCTGGTGTCCCAGAACCCAGTTCTGCTTAAAGAAAAAAGTAAGCTGGACTGATTTTTTTTTTTTTTTTTTTTTTGCATATTTGTGCAATCAGTTACCATTTTCCTCCAAATCGTAGCCATGGGTTCTGTTTTTATTTATTATTAACAATATTCCCATTGCACAGGTAACAAAAGCTTCAGCTGTAGAGTAGTCTGATGTGTCACCCAAAAGTCAAGAAGGGTTTTTCTTTTTTCTTTTCTTGGAAAATTCAAAGTAATTTCAGAGAACTTGTTAAGCCAGGATGATCAGCACTTGTAGGTTAGGAAATACTTAGTGTAGCGTATTATTTTGTCCCTTTAGTGAATATGAATTTGGATGTTGATATTCCTTCAGAGTGTTTATCTCCCCAGGTCACCTGCTTTGTTCGTACCAAGTAATGGGCTTGATTGTAATGTCTGCAGTTCAGGTTGTTTCATCTCACAAAAAGTGATTTTTACTTCAAGATCGCTTGAGTACAACTCATGCTATACTTTAATAAGTAAAATCTTCTAAAATAGAAGTTCTTGAGCTCATCAGTATGATTTCATTTATGTGGGGTTCGGATAACAGTCTGGAAGTAGAGGTTCTGAATGCCAGCAAAATAATTTAGTTTTCCTCAGTTATTTCCAATGACAAAACTACAGAATTGTAGGAGTTGGTAGAGACTTCTAGAGATCTTCTAGTCCAACCTCCTGCTAAAGCAGGTTCCCTGCAGTAGGTGAATTGTTGCTCTGGTTTGTCTAGAGGAGTCTATGTGGAAGTGTAATGATTGAGACATGTTGCATTATTCTGAAAATATATACTTCTTCCATCCCTTGATGTAGTTTGGATGATGCTTGGAAAAGTAATGTTTGTCCAGTTTTCCAGCTTTGTGCCATGCCTGTGTTATTGTGACCTATGTATGCACCAAGCCAGCTATTTCACTGTGACCGTTTCAGGGCAAGTTTTGCCATTTCAAATCTGTGTTTACTTCATATCACGAAGGTTATCTCACCTGTGCACTCCTGCTTCTCTGCTTAATAGGAGCTGCTCTATTCATTTCTATTAGAAATTTTTAAATATTGAAATAAACAGCAAGTCAGTCTTGCCTACCTAGGAAACCAGTCATTTGATACCACCTACTCGAGTGTGGAATGCAAGCTCCTCGGTGCTTGTTATGCAAGGATGGGAATGGGCAAAATGCCTGGAATGTTGATGGTTCAAAATTAACTGCTTTTTTTTTCCAAGAATACGTTAAATTGCTACATTAGTAGGGACCTTGGTATATCTGGTGTTGGGCCAAGATAAAAGGACTCTCATAGTGACTAGACTTGAGTAGTATCTTAAAAATAGACAGTAAGAAGCAAAAATGTGTTTGGAAGAAATTAAATTGCTATCCCTTTCAAGTATTTGATTTAAGTGAGTGTTTAAGGTAGACGAAATATATACACTGAAAGAAGGCAAAATAGCCACTTTTTGTAAGAGATGTCTGGTGTAGTATGGGCATTAAGCCATGGACAAGCACAGTAAAAGTGCTTATCTGTGCATTTATTATGTTTGGAAATAAAAGCTTGTGTTGCAAGAAACAAACTACAAGTATGAAATATGCTTGGAAGGATTTTTCTTATTAAGGTTTTGGGTGAATTAAATGTCTTCTATCCTCAGATACATTTCTTAGGTTTGGGTGAGGGAGACTGTAAAAGCCCTAGGGACGTTTTCTAGCTAACAGTAGAAATTTTAACAAGTTTTATCACTGGTAGCTTTTTGGAGCAGTATGTTACATAGAGATGTCCTTAGTGAAAGACGAGGAACAAAGTTCCCCAGAAAAGTTTGGTGTGCTTGCAGGAACTGCAGGAAATACAGGTTGCAGGAAGTTGGCTTACTACTGCTGAAGTTCTCCCAACGGATTTCTGCATTATGTAGTGTTACGCAAGTGCTTTTTCTTTGCTTTAAGGGAAGAAATAGAGACAGGAACTGCTAGCAGAAATGCTGAGAGCATCAAGGGAATCAAATTAAGTACCTAATCAGATCTTGGAACTTTTCAGTGACACAAGCCTAGTCCACAGCAGTACTTTTTCCTTTAATAATGGTACAATTAAGTTATTGTACCACAACTTTATGCTTTCAAAGCATCTTCTATCAGAAATCTGGAAAAAAAAGCAAACTTTAATCTGGAATGACATACCCAGGGGGAGTAATGTGTTCTTAGCAAACACAAGAGTCTAAATTAAAACCTCCTGTATTTCAAGCATTGTCCTGATCAGCCAAGCTGATTTGCTGGCCAAATGACGCTGTAAAGAGAGATCACTTCCTTCCTTCTGCCATTTTCCTATCTTGTCTGCTGGCATTTCTCTCTTCTTTGCTGCCTATGTTGGCATTTATTTACCTCATTGGCCAGTATCATAACCAGCTCAGCCTGCATTAAAAAAATGCCTAGCAAGGCAACTGTGATTGGGTCACTCCTTCAGCTGCTTCATTAAACTGAATCCAGAGTCTTCACCAAACACATCTCATCTTTATTCACAAGCCACAACAGAGCTTGTGAACGTGGTCATTCCAATGCATTGCCAAGGCTCAGCTGATTCACACTCCCGAGCTAAGCTATGACCATCCAAATGTGCTTGAGTTTTACAATTCTCTTGAGCAGACCTTGGGTTCCAGTTTGTTTCATTTGGCACTGAACGCTTGAAAATCAAGCTGTATACATGTTCAGAAGTGTTTCCTGAATCTTTAACCGCTGAGCAGAGTGGGTGAGGGAGAAGAGGGAGGGTGAGTGGCCCTGACGTCCTATGAGGGGATGAGGTGTTTGTCAGGAAACTGCCTCTGGAATTCATGCATAATAGCTGAGGAATGAAATATTTAAACTGCTTGTATTGATTCACAATGGTGCTTTCACTAGCTGTTTGCAGGAAGTTGGATATTGATGTCAGGAAATTGAAAAGGTATTGAAGGACTTGATAAAATATTACACTTCAGACTAAAATGTAACACAATACCTAAGTTCTTTGCTTGCTGTAAATGAAAATTAAAGGGAGAGAATGGTATTTGTAAAAACTAACAGTAAGATTCCTGTTTATCTATGAACATGTAAACTAACTAACACAATCGTTGACTTGCATTAATACTTTATTTTCCTTGCCATGATATAAGATGGCCAGATACTTTCCAGTTGACAGTCCGAAATAAATACTGCTGTAGGTTAGGGTTTAAATAGGAAAAATCTACCTTCACTGTGTGCCTTTTCATTTATTCTTGGGCAGACATGATCATGCTGTGGATTTTCTGCTTGCTTGTTGTGTGCTTTTAACATTACTTTGTTAATTCATTTCTTTTATTCTTACATACTTTTTCATTTAAGGACAGTAATCTTTTCTTGCGCCCTTAACTTTGAATGCTGCCATTTCAAAGCCAAGATGAAACTGAGGTGTACAGATGCATAACTTTGGTGCAGCATAGTTTCTTACAAATGTTCAAAAATCAGAAAGCTGGATTTTCTTATTTACTTTTCATTTTAACAGTAAACTTCTGAAGTGCCTTAAATTGATCACTTTAAGACAAGCATAAAAAAACAAACAGTAACAGAGTGTTCTCCCTGTTACGCTTATATACCTTTTGATTTTGCCAAAAGAAACAGTTGTGAAATTTTTAGCGTTAGAGGTTGGTGTAGTGTTTATTAGAGTTCAGAATTTCTTTTTAGCAGATCAGTTTCTCACAGTGTCAACTGTGGAATCAGAAAACAACAGTAATTGCAAGAATGTAATGGTTCAGTGTATGGAGATAAAAACAAAACAAGAAACTTCTTTTGGCTATGAAGTCTACTACTAAAAATAACACTGAAGTTAGCATATCCAACTTCGATTTGATGATTGATCTATCTGAAGCCATCTGGATTTTGCAACCAGTAAATCTTTTTTTCTGGACCTACATTTTTGTTTTACTGATAATTAATATGTTCTTAAAGTTTTGTTGTTAGTCAGGACAAGTTCCTCTGTTGAGGTGGGCATGGACAATGCAGAACTTCTCAAAGGCAGACTTTCCTTTGCTGCATTTCTCAAATCCCATGTTAAGATATGATAATGGAAGAATGAGTAACAAAAAGGTATTCAGATTCATCAGCTTGTGCAAACATCATACTGAAGAGCTCTAAAGTATCAGTTGATTTTTCTATAAAATGAGCAATCTGTAAAGACAGATACTGACCATGTCATAATGTGTTGTAGTTCTTATACAGTTACGCATTCATGAACACTTGACATTCTTTACATTTAAAGCAAACAAACCAAGAAATACCCCAAGCTTAGAAACAAATAAGCCTCGTGAAGACCGCCAAGTTTTTTTTGTTTCAGAGTTTAGATGAAAGTCACTGAAGCTGAGAGGCTTCACCTTCTGATGTTTTTCCTTTTACTTGTCTTCATCTTTGTCTCTTCTGTGTTTTGAAATATGTTTATTCTCCTTTAAAGAGTTTCGAATATACAACAGCAGCTGGCCTTGTTAGACAATGAATCTTGGCCAGGAATGGCTGAAGCGGACAGGGACCGTCTTCAGCTCATCAAGGAGAAGGAGGCTCTTCTTCAGGAGCTGCAGCTCATCAGTCAGCAGAGACGATCCCCAGAAGACATTGCACGTTTGGAGGAAGAAAAAAGACGTTTGGAGGATGAAATTCAGCGGGCTCGAGCAACTTCTGCTCATGGGGCCACTGAAAGGTTTGTGAACTTCAATAATTTTCTCAACCGCTGGGTGATTTCAAAATGAAGAGTAGAGAATTGTGTGTGTTCAAGAAACAAACAAAAAAATTTAGTAATTTGTTTCAGTGAAACATCTGGCTCCTGACTCTGCCATTATTTAATTCTGCCTGTCTTGAAGTTCTGTGGAGGACTGTTAGTGATGTTGACTGGCTAGTTTTTTGTTCATTCATCTAAACTGTGTGAATAGAAAGAACAGATCAGATGACTTAGAAGTCGTCTGAGTGATGTTGCCAGGTAAGAAAGACAAATGATAGCACCTGGACAATGAAAGATTTTTCTAGTATTTTACTCTAGTGGAGTAATGGTCATCTTCAAATTCATCAGAACAAAGATCTTTCCCTATTTTTGCTTTCTGTTTCAGAATGGGAAAGTTAAAGGATATTTTTTCACCTGTTTCATCAAATTTTTTCTTTTAATTTGCAGTTTTTGCAGCATGAGCATGTGTGAACTGACAGTATAGTAAACTGAAAATGTAATTAAATGTAAAGTTTTGTGTGAAAACAAACAAACAAAGAAAAACATTGCAGCAGAAGCACTGTTTATTTCCAAATTATGTATTTTTTCCTCTAGCCAAGGAAATGGACCAAAATTCTATATGTGTTATTGTTACCGTAGACTGCTTTCAGTGAAAAGCATGAAAGTACTTGTTCTTATTTTCCAGACTTGCTTTCTCTTAAATAATTGATACATACATGCTATGTAAATGCCAGAAAGGCTAACTTAAAACCATACAGAGAAGGTGTTTGTGGCCTTTTAAAATTAATTTATTTATAACAGAAGAATACTTCTGTTTGAGGCATGAAAGATTTTTCATTTCTCTTGCTATTCTTTTTCTTTCTGAAACAAACTGAGGCATGAATAAATGGTAAAAAGCCAGGTGTAATATGAGGGAAAATTATGTGAAACATTTAATGTGACCCGTTTTAAGGCTAATACTTATGCAGTTAAGAAACTGTTAAATAGATTTGGAATTGCCTTCCATGTACAGACTCTGGGAGCTTTGGTTCCTTTGGACAGACTTACATTGGATGATAAATTCAGGCAATAAAAACAGAAAATTAGCAGCCACCCTGCAGTTGGATGTTGTGTATTTTGCAATTTTTGCAGTATTGTCAAACAAGCTTTCCAGCGTGAACTGATGGAGAAGGGAGTTCATTTTACACTGCAGTGTAGTAAGTTTTATTTGTTGTTCTTGGGCTCTCACATTAGATACTGCATACTATGTTGGCAAGAAGGCCAAGCTATTTTTCCATGTAGTTCATGCAGTGGAAACCAGCATTCTAGTACGATATTTGATATTTCAAATGCTAGCAAAAAGTAGAAGTTAGAATAATATTTAAGGCCACTCTTTTTTTGTATAACAAATTGGAGAAAATCTTGACTATTAATAATCTTAATTCATTTATTTGTTTAGTTTAGGCTCCAGAATAACTCAAACTATTCCCAGTTCTACTTTTCTATTTCTACTTACTTCTAGTCACAAAGTAGAAAGAAATTTCCTGTTTAAATAATTACCAGTTTTGTGCTGTTGCAGAGTTTTAAATGTACTGTGTTACGGATCAAAACTAACTCAAAGTCTGTATGCCAAAGGGGTCCCTTGCAGGCAGTGATCACCTGAGTGATACAGCAGAGCTCCAGCCTTCCTTGCACCACTTGATTAACCCGATCTGTGATGCACAGAAGCAGGAGAAAAGCTTTGATCTTGCACACGCTTTGGTGTGGAGCTTCTTGCTGTGTCGTTGCAATAAAGAGAACCTCCTCAGAGGGTGGGAAAGGTTTGCTGGAGCATGGTGCTGCAGACTACATGCCAACATACTGAATTAATGCAGTTGGAGGCCAACAAAATTGAGATTTCTGTTTTTACTCTTCACAAAGATTTTTTTTTTTTTTTGTATCTTTACCATTCACATTTCACTTAAATAAATGTTGCTGTTTTATCCAAAAGGGTTTCCTTTTTAATGATATTTTTCTATCCTGCCCCTTAGCATGTTGTTTTCTAGCAGCTGTCTGCAGTTGGTAAGGTCTGACACATGAATCTTAAATATGTTTGATGTGCTGTCTCCAGACTGTCCGTCAGAATCCCAGTTTCTAGTCAATTTATGAACATGGGTCTGGAGTAATAACCTTCCTGCTGCAAGTGTACAAATGTATAACATGAAATGGGTTATTATGCTAATTCTATTTTGAAATTTAGTGATTGGGTTTGGAAGATTAAAGCAGCAGGAATGCCAGTAATTGTCCATTCAGGAAAAGAACAAATGTACTTTCGTAGAACCATGGAATGGTCTGGTTTGAAAAGTACCGTAATGATGAAAGTTTCAACCCCCCTGCTATGTGCAGGGTCACCAACCACCAGACCAGGCTGCCCAGAGCCACATCCAGCCTGGCCTTGAATGCCTCCAGGGATGGGGCATCCACAGCCTCCTTGGGCAGCCTGTTCCAGTGTGTCACCACCCTCTGTGTGAAAAGCTTCCTCCTAATATCTAACCTATACCTCCCCTGCCTCAGTTTAAAACATTCCCCCTTGTCCTGTCGCTACCAGCCCATGTAAACAGTCATTTCTGTAGAGCATTTAAGAAATCTATTAGGCATGTGAGACTGACAGCATTACAGGTATGTTCTACCTGTGTTGTGGCAGTGGTGCTGAGTAATTCAGCTGCTTTTATTAGAATGTGCAAAAATAAGTCACACTAAGAGGTTTTTGCCATAGCTTAGTATTTATTGTCTGCTTAAATATATAAACTTGCTTGAAACAAGTAGAATTACAACTTGAAGTTGTGTTTTATGGTAACTGCTTAACAAAAACTCTCCAAAGCTTTTCTTTTTACCTTTGAAATGTAACATTAGTTTGTTTGGATAACAGAACTATTTGGAATATTTTTTTCCTGCCAGGGCGACTGGTCATACTCGTAGAGTCTGATGCTTTTACCTAGAACTTTTGATGACTTGGACAATTTCTGCAGTGTGTTTTTGACGTCACAATGTCACGATGCTTACACTGTGCCTCGGCTAATTTTTCTTGTCTGGGAATTTGCTAGTCTTGGTTCCCATGTTCATGGTGGAATTTCATTTGGTGCATATGCGCAGCATAAATTTAATCTTTTCATCAAACAAGAAAGTTTCTTTTTATTTTCTAAACTGCAATGCAATGGCATTTTTTCTGTACTTGGAAAGCTCCTGATACTTCTTGAGTACAACTGTGAGAAAGAAAAATGATAGTATGTATCTATTTAATTACAGGATACTGTTACAGGAAAAGAGAAATTGTTTGCTTATGCAACTGGAGGAAGCTACACGTTTAACCTCGTATTTACACTCCCAATTGAAAAGGTGAGTTGTGCAGAAAGAGTAGGCTTTGAAGTTTAACTGCAGCAGAGAATAATGGTAATGGAAGTTTACCTTCTAAAACTTCCTGTGTGGATATGTTGGGTAAATTAAATTTTTACTGAATTTATTCAGATTGATCTGTAGAATGTGGTGATTTTGATGAAATTTTGTAAATAGCATTAGTAATGGTTGTTTGGGATAGATTACTACATATATCTGGGAATTCTGTATGCTGGCTTTTGTTCTTTTACAAAAAGGAGCCTATAGTAAAATTGTCAGATTTACTTTATGTGAAAATAACATTCTTCTAAATTCTGTGAAGTTTAATATCCTGATACCTTCTCTGAAAGAGGTGATCCCTGGTGAGATGACAGAATTTTGCCATTTAAATATGAGAACGTGCTAAGACCCACACAGAAGCCCAGAATGTTTTGCATATTCACGCTCACAGCTGCCTTCTTCGGTGTGGCTCTCAGGGATTCTTCAGCTCAACACCATGCCAACATCAAAAGCTCAGTTCCTGCTGTGTCTTACTTCATCTCTGTCCGTCACGTACACTGTTCTCTCTGTAGCCATCTGGGAACGATAGAAGGAACTGAAATAGGATTCATACTAAAGTTGTTTTCATTTTGCACTGGAAAAACCTGTGATGTTGAGGCTTATGCAGCACTTTGTTAGGCCTTTCCAAATCCATTCTTGCTTCTTCTCCCTGATACATTTATGATTCATCATTAACACCAATTCTGGCTGGATCAAAGTAATCTACCATTCCTGGCTTTGTGCTGAGTCCACTTATTCAAGCCTTCCTATTATGTTGTCTTTGCCAAATTAGGGCTGCTTACAATTCAGAGGAAGGAGTAGACCTGTCCTGTTGTACTCTGGCCTGATTTGACTGTCACTCGTGCTTTTCCAGTCATGTCTGTGCTTGAGACCAGGACAAGAAACACAAGCTAGACCCTAAACAGCCAGATCATCTCCCTGTGTCATGTGCTGAATGCATATGAAATTGCTTATACTAGATGGTCTGATGTATTTATGTCTGTGCTGATGCTTCTGATTATATTTTGAAGGCATTTTTTTGTTTCCTTTTCTTTTGCCTGGTGTAGTCTGTCGGCTAGCACCCTCACAATGTCATCTGGCAGCAGCAGGGGTTCCCTGGCCTCCAGCCGAGGTTCCCTGGCATCCAGCAGAGGCTCCCTCAGCTCAGTCAGCTTTACGGACATCTACGGCCTTCCTCAGTATGACAAATCAGACAGCGTTACTGACTACGGGCAGCACTTGCGCTTTGACATCATTCCCTTTGAGTCTCTGACAAAGGACGTGCCGTACGCTGATCCCATCGGACATTCAAATTTCAATAAGCAACGGAGGTCTCTGGATACCCCTCAGTCCCTGGCATCCCTGTCGTCACGGTCCTCACTGTCATCGCTGTCCCCTCCAAGCTCACCTCTGGACACCCCGTTTCTCTCTGCATCTCGAGATTCTCCCTTGGCTCAGATGTCTGAAGGCTTTGAGGAGATTGCAGGCATGGGAGCTCTGGAAATGCTCAGAGCTCAGACCACAGCGTTGGGTGACGATGATGCACAAGGAACAAGTTCATCTCAGATGTCCTCTTACCCTGTCGACAGTGAAGGGGTGCGAGAAATGGGCCCACAGCTGACTGCTGTCCAACCTAGTGGAGGTAAGTTTTTGGACTTGATTGTTTTGTCACATGAGGCACACAACCCTAATCATACTGGCACAATGGAGATTGTTGCTCTGTTTAAGTTCACCCAGATAAAAATTGCATGATGGATGTTAGGTGTTTAGAAAGAAAATGAGAGGACTTCCCTCCCTATTCTCCCCCTAAACCAAATCAAAACAAAACAAAAAAAAACCTTTTGATTTAGGGCAGAGATGAAAGAATGAGGAAATTTTGTGATAGTTTGGGTGGAAGGAAGGGAAAGGAATATAGACTTTTGTTGGAGTGGAACACATGAAGGTACATGCATATTTTGGTCTTGCATGAGGAATTAGTAAAATCACACATGGCTTAATTACATCCCAATATCTGGCAATGTTGCCATTAGGCTGATAATTTCCAGCAACACAAACCCAAAGGAAATTGTTGGTTGCTTTGTTTCGTATTTTTAAACAAACAAGCAAAAAAAAAACTTAGGAGGGGGTGCACGAGGTGATTGCTGCTGTGATAGCGTTTGAAGGTTGGCTGGCTCCATGCTGAATTCATGCCCACTCTGGTATCAGGTTCCTATGTCTGTGTGCAGTGCAATGGGATGGGAACCACAGCAGCAGGATGGTGCTGAATGCATGATACGCTGTGCTCAGGAGTTGAGTTCACTACTTCAGCAGGTGGGAAGTGTGAGGAGCTGAGCATCCACTTGAGTGATTTTTTGTTGCTGTCTCAGAGCATGAGCTCTGGAATCACAGAACAGTCTCGGTTACCATGGCACATACTGTTAGGGTTGTCTTTTCCTGCTTGAATGTGAAGTCGATGGACTTTCTTCAGCTTGTGTTGTTGGAAGCTTCTGAGGTGCTGTAGATGAGAGTGCAATAGAAAATTGAGTTGGAGAGATCAAGAAGTGAAACAAACCTTAAAAAAGTGAAGAAACAGTTAATTTCTTTTCCGGTTTTAATCAATTGAAGAACTGCTGTTAAAATTTTCTTTCCTTATGATATTTTTGTGTTTTAACATGCTACATTTCTAATAAAACCATTGCAGGATAGGAGGGCTTTTAGAGAATATTTTAAAGATTATAATTCACGTCTCATTCTAATATGTAGAGCACTACATTCTGGACTTAGAACATAAAGGCTACTATGAAATAGAAGCAGAGAATCTGTTATCCCATTAGATCTTGTTTGTCAGGAGACAATGAGAAGGAGCACCAGCAGTATCTAAGGAAAAGATTTCAACTTTCTGTTTTTCATGAAGAAAAAGGCCATTACTGTGCTAACAAGCCCGCGTTGTTCAAATAGAATTGAATGTAGACTTACTTTCCTTAATGCAGCTCGTGCTGCCAGAAGGTACTGCTAACAGAATTTGTTTACTAGACATAAACATGTCTGATGCCCATATTGCAGTATTCTGACCAAAATAAACAGAGTTCTAGAGACCAACATGTAAGTCTGTGCTTAAATTAGTGTCATGGAGAAGTTTCCTGAGGCTTTCTTTAAACCTCAGATCAGACCACAGCATGTCTTCACCCACTGTGGTAAGTAAAGCTATGTTAGTAGTTCATTTATAGCTCATATGTGTTTCCTAGAAATGAAGGCCTGGTCTGAGGGCTTAGGGAGCAATAGGATGAGGGTCACGTCCTGCTTCGGTTTTCCTTTTCTCCCTTCTCTGTAATGTTTTTACACATTTTTCGTTTTTCTTTCTGAAGGCTTCTGGCAGAACATGTCTGTGATGCCACTGTCACTGCTGTGGTGTCTGGGTCCAGCTCCTAGTCCAGGGTTTTTAACTTTTCTCTGTGTTTAACCTAGTGCTTTCTGTTCCTTTTTGAATGTATGATTAGAAGGTAATTAGTTTGTCTTGATGGATATTTTCTTTTTTTAAGTATTTGATTTTTGAAACAATTGCCTGGGAAAGAAAAACAAGTTTAACCTTTCTGGTATTTGGCTGGAGTCACGACTGCTTCGAGCTTGGCATTCCGTAGTTGGTGGGTTTGCTGTTGTAATGCAGTTGTCTCCATCTATCAGTTGAAAATTTTTAAATCTATTAAGTTCAGTAGTGTATTCTTGAAGAATCTGATGGAGCATCACCCTCATACAGGACAGTTTGGGATCCCCCAGATGTTGAGGGTTGTTAGTTTTTACTAAGCTACTGTGCTGTATGCTTTGCTGCTGCCATCTGATGGTCTATCATTGTAATGCTCCTCTGGAAAACCAACAAGTATTAATCAGACAAATTTTTCACCAGTTCTATCAAACAAAATATGGCGTGATTTCCCAAATTACAGAGGTCCAGAGGGATAACGCTCTGGGATAACCATTGTAACAGAGGGATAACCATTGTGAATACTCTGTTTTGAAGCAGTACTAAAGCATGCTCAGGAGTTCTCCAGGAACTGAATTTTTAATGCTCTTTTGCTTATTTGCTGTTTTCTTTTTCTGTATCTCTTCTGGGGGCATATACATTGTATTTGTAAAGCTGGGGGGAGGAAAAGTGCTAACACAGGTCTTCAAAGATCTTCTGTACCTTCTCTGTCCTAAAATAATTTTTTGAGTGTTAAATTTCTTTCAATGCCTAAGTAATCTAGTTTGCAAAATACTGACCTCCTTGTAGACCTAAAAGATGATTGATCACTGTGTGCTTTTCATTTTGTCTCGTTTCTCATGCGGCACAACAGAAAAATGCACTGTAAGTGAACATAAAATTACTAATCGTGCTGTTTTTGCTTGTAATTCCCAGTGTGATTTTGTGTGTGAAGTGTTTTTTGTATGAGTTGCATGTGAAGGAAAAAGGAGATTATTTTAACATTTGGTTTTGACACACTGCTGTCTGATACAATCTTGTATCTGTTTAATTGTGGCATATTATGGCATACTCAAATTTTGGCTATGTCAATTAAGCAATATGTTCATGGCTGTGGTTAAATACCAGAACAGTGTTTTCTGCAAGCTTCAGCTTTATTACATCATTGTAATGCCTGACAGCATCATGGTAGGTAAAGTCTGTTTGTGTCTGTTTTAGGTTTTATGACAGTGTTTGATTCTGTTATGAGCGCGTTTTGAGCTGACATGCAGTACGTGTAGTTTCATGTGCCTGTGAAATATGCTTTAAATGTATAGTTTTTGTTAATGAACTACTAAACACTAACACATATTCAACACCAAAATTTTCTTTCAAGTTCAAGTTTTAAGCTTGTGGCAGCTGAGAATATTCTTTTAATCAGGCCAGTCTTTGACAAGCTTTGGCGCCTGCTAGGAAATTCCAATTCATATCTATTTTGCTCACTGATTTTCTTGACATAGGACAGTAAAGGCAATTATGTATTTTAGAAACTTTATTTTTAAACAGTTCTTTAGCTTCCTGGATTGAAACCAGGTGCACCTTGTTCTGTTTAAGTCAAAATCTGATGTTTCTTTCTTGATGAGTTTTTCTTACTGATTCATTTTTCTATTCAAGTGTGTGTTCTGACATTTGCATCTCAACCAAATTTGTGGGATTGTCCAGGTGTAATCAAATGCTTCCTTGGCCTGCAAGGCGGTGGGCAATCATTGTTAAGTTACAAGTGTTGCAACACATCAGTTTTTCATGACAGTGTGTCGGTGCTTGACAACAGTTTTTCCTTCAGACAGATTAGGAACATGAAACCTCCAAGGTAGAGAGCTGGTGAGGTCCAACCTCCTCTTTCATCTCTTACATCTATACAGTGTTCACATAACAGGGTGAGCCAAATACTTTCTTATGAAAACGTAGTAAACATTGTGTAATTTTTTGAAATTAATACACAATGTGTAGGTGAGCATTGGTATAAAATTGCACTTTTTTTTCTGAAGGTCAGTCATTTTCCAGTGTTGAGAAACTCTTCTGTATTCATAAATCCCGTTGCAAAGTTCTAGTTTTCCTTTTGCTTATCAGTGACAACAGTTACAGAAGTTGTCTCACCAAATGAAAAGATTGAAAAAAGTAAAATAAAAAAACAAATTGAAATGAAATCCTCCACTTTGTACAAGTGGTAGGAGGAGAGTGTAGTTCAAACACAGTTTTCTGTCTTTTTTTTTCTTTTCTTTTTTTTTTTTTGAGTCAGGTAGAGGTTGGCTCTCATTTGCAGTGAGGATGAAATGAGCTGTATGGCAAAATGACATGTGCTGGACAATAAGATGGGATGCTGTAATTAGGAAGAAAAAGGGTAGTTCTTTCTCCAGGTACAGAAACAAATGCAGAATGGAATGTTCTTGCCAGCAAATAGACGTCCTGCATAGCTGAAGATGGCTAAGTTGTTCACTGAATTTGGAGGGGAGGTCCATAGGGCCCCTGATCCAAAAACACAGATAGTTGGTTCTGCAGACATATAAGAATCCTAGCTTCTAACAGAAGCCTGTGATATTTATGAACATCTCTTCTGGTTTTGTGCTGTTGGTTATCTGACAAAAAGATGACATCTCAAGTTGGTGCAGGATGGCAGTACTCAGTGCATCTTGTCTGCCAGTCCTGCAGTGGGACAAAGCCAGACATTTCTGTTGACAGCAGCAGCACAGATGTTGATTTGAGAGGCTTTTTGTCAAGCTTCAAGGCCTATCTGGTGTCTTCTGCATGGGTCTTGCACAGGATGCAAAAGCTTGCTCACTCAGAGCAGGGGCTTGATGTCCATTCCACCCTTCAGTGGGGCTTTGCAAGTGAAGCTCTAGTTACTTGTTGACAATGTGCTGAAGGGAACTTGCTGTTCAGGAGGCTGTGTTTTATTGGTGATGTCTAAAGATAATATCTTAACAGAGCTAATTAAATTGTTTGAGTAAGACATGTTTCAGCCTTAGTGGTAGTAAGCTGGAAACAAGCAGCTGCTGCTTGCCTCCCTGTGATGTGTGCTGTGCTACTATCACTCCAGTAACGTCTGCTGAAACCTAAAGTACTTCCAAGACATTTAATTTCATGAGCCCGGGTAGGAGTATGATACTTTTCCCTTTTCTAAAGTGGCATCTCTTTGCCATTGCTTTTCTGCTTTGAGAGCAAGCATTGATCCTAAGCAAAAGGGGGAAGAAGTTGGCAAAAGATACTGCAGTTCCATAAGTCCATGTAATGATTCTCTCTAGGATGTGAAAGAAGAAAAGCTCAAGTTGCAGCCTTTCAAGTCTTGAATCCTTATCTATATAATTCTTGAGCATTATCACTTGTGCACATACCTTAAAGGATTTCTACATTCTATTTCTACTTGTATTTGCAAAATGTGGTGTGTAATGCCATTTTGGTTGATAAGCTTAGCTCATGAAAGTGATTGAATTGCTATTTGTGATGGTGCTGGTGATTTAGAGTGGAAGGGAGGGTTGACTTTTTCTTCCCTCTGTCAGTTTTCAAATTCATTCACCAAGAATTTGGAAAAGAACTGGTGTCAGTGAGATGGAAAGTGCTGTTTTTTCTTTTGGATAACACCTCTCAGACTGTAAATAAAAGTTGCTGATATGAGATGATATAAGCAACGTGCTTTGAAAATTTATACATGGAAACACGTGAGAACAAAACCTCACTGTGTGTTGTCTGATAACTTCTTAAAAGAATTAGTCTCTGTTTATTTTCAAACTACTGAATAATCGATAGGTAAATCTTAGAAGTTTAGGATATCATGTGTGTGTACTGAATTAACGTAAACCTTTAGAGTGATTTTTCCTCTGGAAAAATACTGTTATAAAATGAGATTGGCTTATGTTTAGTCATGACACAGAGAAATCAGCCTTAATTCTTTCACAGAAAATCTGGTCCATTGTACGGTAGGTTTTTAAGGATAGAAGACAAAACAATGAGCTGCATTTGTACCAAGCGTTTTGCTGCTAGTTGTACTGTTTGCCACTCATATACTGCTTCTAGCTTTATCTTTAAAGAGATTGCCTTGAGCTGATGTTGTCTCCTCTTTTTTCTCCATGATAGCTGTAACTCTGCGAGGAGACAGCGGTCGAAGATCGGAGAGGAGAGCCAGGCGAGTTTCAGCATGTCTCTCAGATCATTCACTGGCTAGTGACAGTGGCGTGTTTGAAGCTTTAAGCAAAAGGTCAGGTGTAAAAATGTGTAGTAAGCTGGAAATATTCCTGTTCTGCCACACGGTCTGAAAGAATTTATAGTAAATTTCTGAACGTGCTTTCAAAATTGGTGATTAAGTTGCATCTGTTAGGTTGATGAAGGTTTTTACGTACGGTTCTACTGTCATCTTCATAGTTGCTAAGTCCCTTTCACTTGATCGTCTCTAACATTTTAACATTCAATACTTCTGACCTAAAAGATGTTAATTTTAAAGTTGTGATTTTATTTTAACCACCTGTAACAAAATAAAATGATATGGGTTAGTACTTCAAGTTCCGACACATAATTAAAAGTGTACATCTGCCTGTGATAAAGGGAAAAAAAGTATATGAATTGCTGCAAGGCTAAATGTGCAGATTGATCAAGTGACTGGAGGAGGGTAAACACATTTTATACAATTGTTATAACACAGTAAACAGTTAGTGGAAGAAGGTAAGGTTTTGATGATTCTGAAGAGTAATAGAAAACAGGACAAATACAAAACTAGCCTTAAGAATTATTCTAAAAACTTTTTAAAATATGAATTACTGCTTTTGTTTCTCTAAAATGTATCTCAATCCTTCCCTATATTACTGAACAGTTGCATTTATCCTCAAATCATGAAATAAATGTTCATTTCATTGTGCTTTAACATCATAGATTAGTATGTAGTTTACAGTACTTTCTGCTTGTGCAGGAATGAAGATATGGAAGAGCCTGTCTATGGTGATATTGCCAGTAATGAAGAACCACAAATACATGTTGGATTTCTGTAAGTAGTGTTAATACTGTTTTTGAGCTGAAAACCAAGGTAGTTTGATGCAATAGTCAGCATGCCACTTTCTGCTGGGGCCGCCACTGTTCATTTGGTGTCCTTTCAATGCTGGCTAATGAAGGGGCTTTAGTTACTTTCAGTAATTAATATTTTCACTGTCTGGGCTATTAGTATGAGCGTTGATGTAGGGATATGTCTCACTCTGTAAGATCTGATTTTTTTTGTGTGAAATAAAAGATGATTACCTTAGAAAAATCACATCTGAAGAGACAAATACAAATAAGGCTCCTCAGTGCACCTCTGAAGAACTGTACATAGGTCAAGCTGTTGTTAATTGTGCAAGTAATGTGGGGGAGGGCAGATTACAGCAGTGCAAGATGGGATGCCTTCCAGAATTCTCTCTACCCCTCAGTTCCCAGGGCCTGGAATTTTCAGATTTCAAGCAGCTGTGATAGTTCTGTCTCAAAACTCATGCTGTTGCAGAAGATAAGAATTTTTTTTTGCACTTTTGTTAATCCAGGAAAATAATGCAGAGCGAGTTGTCTAACATAAATATTACATCACTCACACACGTGATTGTGGTGGAAACATTTAATACAAGGAACATTTTATAAATCTGTTCACTGTCAAGACTCACTCTAGGTAGTGTTCTTGTTCACCTGAATAATGTTAAATTCCCTTTGTTCTGATGAGTTTGTTAATGCAGTTAGTGCTTTTATGGTTCTGAATGTGATATCCTTAAATGCTTTGGATTCATGCTGATTTTGTAAGTGATTCATTTAACTGCAAAAAGTATTTTTGTGTTCTTAAAGTCCTCTTAGTCTTTTTCATCTATATTTCTTAAGGAACATATTGATGATGACTAACACAGGAAATTTATTTTCCAGGCATGACAGTGGAAGCGAATGTCTCTTAGTCCATGTACTACAGCTGAAGAATTTTACTAGTCTAGTTGTTAAGGAAAACTGCAAAATGTAAGCTTACATTTTACCAAAAGTTGCTTCTTTTGTGCTATAATCTTGAGTGCTACAGTTTGTTTGCTTTCATGCAAAATTAAGCCGTTATGGCATATCTTAGTTTACCTGGGGAAAAGGGATAATTGGATGGACACAAAGCATCCTTTTTATGGAACCTCTGCCTTAATGGTGAGGTAGCAAAGAGAATTTCCGATGACATATGCTTTAATGTATTTATTATGTACAAAAAAGATAGTTCAGAACACAAGTCATTCTGTTGCCTTATGACTTCTGTACAAAAAAAATCTGTAATATTTGTATTCTAGAAATATTATTTCCTATAGAACTTATCTGCAGTCTATTTGTGATATATCTCAGGATAAGCTTAATGTAATTTTCTTAAATTCCTAAGGTAACATCTATAATAATTAGTAATAGAGAGATCTTGCTTTTTATCTGGAAAAAATAGTAGATAAATAATTAAGTAAATATAAAATATAAGACTTCTGTGGGTTTTTGTAGCCATGACAATATTCCTGGAATATCTATGAAACATCTTCTGAAAATAATTTTAACACAAATGTCAGCTGAGAATCAGTACAAACAAATTTTTTTTTAAACTTCTGGCTGCATGTATTACTGCTTCAAATTCCATACCACAAAGAACATTAGTTAGTTTATTTTAATAAGCGTTTTTTTAAATAGCAGGAATGTTGCCATAAAACACAGACCAATCTAGTGATGTGTCTTAATAGGTTTTTAAAGAAATATGAAAATTGTTGGTCTTTATTTCTGGGTGAAGTTGCTTTAAAACTGTGGAAAATGGAGTTGTGATGATATTATTCTGTTGTAAAATAGGTCATTAATTGGGAGTACTGTCATGAACATCTGTCTCAGTGAGTTGATTTTTGTTCAGAAAGCTTGACTTTGCAAATGCTGCAGGCTTCTAGTGGAAATTTTTCACTTAGGTCAGTGCATTAGTGGCAGTTGTTTGTTTTCACTAGGGCATGCTGAAGGGGAGAAGTGTGAATATTGAGTAGTACTCAACTGCGTTGCCTCATGATTAGAAAAAGAAATGAATGTCATCTGAAGAAAATCAAATATAGTCAACAAGGAAATGAATGATTCCAGGGGGTTTGTTGGATATTGTCAATATCAAGGCAGTCAGGCATTTAAGTGGCACTAAAAATAGAGCTCTGTTCCCCAGCCTTGTCAGTTATCCAGTTGGGCTAGAATTGAGAAACTGCATGTCTGCAGGAGAAATCTATTGATTTGACTAGTGGAAAAAAAAAAAAAAAAAAAAGAAAGAAAAGTTGATCTTGGCAAGACCAAAGCTTCTTAGTCACTTGAATGAGCTCTTCCATGCATCTTGATATTCACTGAAACTGGATTGCTTGAGGGCAGACGTGGGAGGTTACCGGCTGCCAGTGGTGAGCAGAGGAATGGGATCACTTCCTTTTTGTGACACGAGCCAGTTTATCTTAACTGGTGCCCCACTCTCCAGCTGTGCGGTTCCACCACAGTGAGTTCTATCAATTGTCCTCTAACATTTGTGTGTCTGCCATTGTTACCCCCTCTGCTTTTGACATAAGAGTTCATGCAGTGATGTAGTCAATTGGAGCGAACCTCTGAGCTGGTTTTTCTTTTTAATCTGCAAGCCTTTTTTTCTGTCTGGGTTAGTTTGTAAACCCAGGTGAGGTTTCCAATCTGGTTCACAGTGTAGTTGCATGAACCTTTTTACTGGCACAAGAGAAGGTATGGCATGAAATGTGGTATTGCAAGGGCTTGACAGGTGGTCAGAACGAGGAGAACACAAACAGTTAAGTAGTGTGTTGCCTTCTGTCAGATTGAAATGGTTGCAGGCCTTGATTTTGGTATGGAGCCTAAAATGAGACGGTATCAAATATGTAAACTTGCTTTTTACAAGCAAGGTTGCAAATGGTAACGTAGGTTTTCTGTGCTGCCATTTTGTGCTGAATTTCTTGGGTGAGGAAGGAGGAGAGGTATGTGTAGTGGATGGAGACAAGAAATAAAGCAGCAATTCAGTAGCTTAAACATAGATACATGTTTCCACTTGAAACCTCCTGGCTTAGCATCTGGCCTCCAGCTGCTGCTTGTCAGGAAAGCTGTAGCTCTCCCATACATCCTATGTCATATTTGCTAGCCCCATGTAGATGCCTAAGACACCTCAGGACATCTCAAGTGGTACTTGGTGACTGTGCTTAATCACCAAGTTAGAATAAAGTTGGTTTTAGAGAAAGATACATTTTCCAAATGAGCTTTGCTCTTTTTCTGCTAAGAATGCAAAATAAATCCCTGTAACAGAGATCCCAAAGCAGGTTCTTAATATAGAAGTTACACAGGTGTTTTTGCGTAGCTTGATTTTCAGAAGTGCAAAACAGCTGAAAACAGCTTTCTTTATCTGAATGGTGCTATTTGTCTATTTTGCTCTTCCTAGTCATGTGAGAGTTTATTTGCCACCACTCGAGTCAGGCACACCAACCACTTACTGCTCCAGAGCCTTGGAATTCCAAACTCCGCTAATATTTAATGAAGTTTTCCGCATCCCTGTGCATTCAAGTGTTTTGAAACTGAAATCACTTCAGCTGTACATTTGCTCAGTTGACCATCAGCAACAAGAAGAATTATTGGTAAGTGGTCTATTTTCTTAAAAGTCTTGTGATATGGGAAACTAAAGTTACAGTCAAAGTGTGAAGACTTTATATTTTGTGAAGTTTTAGGCTGGGAGTAATTGTGGCTCTTTGTTCATATGCATAGTTATGGTAGTGTTATAAAAAAAAAAATACAAGACAACCTCTCAAAGAATGTACCTTCTATACTACATAAAGATTTGGAAGTAATTAGCAGTACTTAGTAATTAGCACTAGCAGTACTTGTGGCTTAGAATTGGAGTATTTTAAGCAGTTTTGGAAGTACTGTTTATTAATAAAATTATTAATATATCTGTTACATTGCAGAATCATACTTAAAATTGATATATTAGCTATATTAATTGCTATGGGATTTAGTAGATTAGGAGGTGTAGGTCTTATTCCTTTTTTAATTTAATACATTTCCTATAAATGTGTGCTTTGGGGAAAGCTGAAAAATCTGCAGTTGCTAAATATGGGTGCAAGAAGAATATGCTGTAAACTTTTTTTCCCAGAGACATTACCTGAATGCTTACAAACTATACTGTGCTGAAGCCTTACCTTTCTGCATGGCACCGTAATGCATGCACAATTAATCAGTATGTGTAAAGCAGCTTCCTAATAAAAATATAACAAATACAAACCAATTTGTATAATTGTGTAATAGGCATTACATCAATCTTTGCTGCAGGGTAACAGTGATCCAGGCAAACTGGTTGTTTTACTTAGCATTAAACTGATGGAGGCATCTAATGTAGGTGAATTCAAAGAAGTATAACGTTGTTTAAATAGCTTACATCTGTTAGCTGTGTTAACATTAGATATGTTAAAAGTTAATTTAATTATTTTCAGGTGTAAATACGCTCAAATGAATCTTCATTGAATGTTTCAAAGTTAGTGGTCTGTAATTTCACTGAGGGATTTGAATGTATCAATTTTTTTTTAAGCCTCTCGACATAGTTAAGAGATACAAGTAGCACAGTGTCTGGTTAAACAGTGGATAAGAGATGATTATTTGAGCACATATGAATGTGTGTTTGTTAGACTACCTTGAAAACCTAGATCATGGGTGTCCTGCCCTCTGGCTTGCCTGAGCCTAGCTGAGTGATATCTTGAGCTGCATATACATAAGTTTCTTCAAAAGTAGTGCCTCTTATTTATTTCCATGTAAACCACAACAGATACAAACAGCATGATCGCACTATTTGATAGAACTAATTTTCAGCTACAAAATACTGTTTCTAACACAGTCATCATCATGAACTATGCATTTTCAGCAGCAGTGAATATGAGCTTCCATGCTGTGCTTATAAAAATAAGCACTAGCAGAGGTGACCCGCTGCTGAAATGCACCACCCACCCCTCAGCAAGTGTTGATGAATGTCAGGAGGTGCCATCTCTTCCTCAAGGAGGAATTCAGTGACACACCTTTGCTTCATCTGCACTTCCACATCAAATACCGTTTTGTCAGTCTGCCCCTCTGCTCCCATCTGTCACACGGCAACAACATGTAGTGGGATATTGGTGGGAAGGTTCAGCCTCTGCTGCCGGACCACCAACATCTGTGTTTAGCCACTGTATCAAAATGCATAAAATTATTTGCCATCGTTTGAGCACTGCCCTCCCAGTGCCCTGGTTTTAGTTGACACAGTGTTAATAAGGCAGTGATGGTTTGGTTGCTGCTGAGCAATGTGTGCATGCCCACATTGGGCCAATTCGTGGTGAAGAGCCACAGCCATTTGTAGTGGGTAGCATGTGGCCCACAGGCTGTGTGTTGGACATGCCTGATCTAGAGCAGTCTTAGATAAACACTGGTCTTCATGTTGACAGTGTTGACAAGATCCAAGGTCTTGTCCACAGCAGGATGTTTTGTTGTTGTTATTACTGCAACCTAATTAAAGAGAAAGCGTGTCAAGAATGGGCTGGATATATTGATAGGAAATGCTTTATACTGTTGTGCAGTGTTCCTCTGAGCTAAGTAGCCATTTCAGTGTAAAGCAATTTTATACTGACACAAGCGCATCGAAATTTAAGATGCTTTCATTCCAACTGCTGTTATTGAACTAGCCAAAAATTATTCTAATAGGATTTGTTTCTCTCTTTCATAGAGTCAGTGTAGTTTTATCAGAAACATCTTTGTCTGGTAACATATTTTAGGATAAGCTAACAAAACAACTCAGAAAGGGAGAAGCAGTGTCATGATTTCTTCGGATAGCTGCGTTTGTAGTCTGAGTGTTGCCCTTCTTGCTTTTAAGTTGAAAAACAACTATATGCTTGAGAAATCATCACTTTGAAACTGCAGTGATGACCTCTACAACTGTCTTTCAAAATCTCTTTCACCTGAGATGCCAATTTTTTTTAGGTGAGGTTGCACAGCACAGAATGGAGTGGGGCCATCCTTGCCCTCACCCAGCAGTGCTGGGCCTGGTGCACCCCAGGGTATGGTTGGCCCTTTGGGCTGCAGGGGCACACTGCTAGCTCACATTCAACTTACTGTCAACTGGAACTGCCAGATCCCTTTCTGTGGGGCTGCTCTCCAACCTCTTGTCCCCTAGTCTGTACATTCATATCCAGGGTTGTCTGTCCCAGACTGGAGTTTTTCATGAGTCAAACAAATATTTGTATGTAACAGGGAAGAAAAAAATTCAAGAAACGTTCTGGCAAATAGTTCTGAACTTCACTTAGAGAAGTAAATCTACTGAATTTCTGTGTCATCCAATTCCTTCATCTCCCTTATGCTCTGTCTTGATGGAAGATTCTACAGCTTTCCACACCTGGTTTTCTGTAGCCTTATAAGACCAATTCCTTAAATTGGCTTGCTGCTCCCCTGATGTCCTCATCAGTGTTGAGATAAGGGAGTTGTTATTTTCCATGTTTAGCATATATTGCTCGTGCTAAAACTTCAAAGAAATGTGATTGCCTTTTTTGCAACCATTACTTTACTGTTTCTGATTTTCTATGGGCCTCACCAACCAGTTACTCTCTGTCTTAATTTATTTGAATTCTTTGTGATTGTGATTTATTGTTCTACATTTCTCTCTCTCTCTCTTTTTTTTTTTTTTTTTTAATATCTGTCCTATTTTTCAACACCATATTAAATTAAATGCTTCTTTGGTGTGCCTTTTTAGCTGATGAATAAATATAGCATGTAGGGCAGCGTCAGACACATTAGAAGTCCAAGTACGTCTTTTCCAACATTTATGACTGTATTTCTGTTTGTAGCACCCAATAACAAATGACATAAAACTACATTCTTAATAATAAACTGTGTCCCAATATGCCATTTTTTTGTTAATCTCACAGACTCCATTTTTCTGTTGTCCTTTCTACACTTGCTCAAACAGAGCAGAAGGTCAACATGGCTCAGAAATTTCTTATGTGAACACTACTTGATTAAGTAGGCTTACTTTGAAGTTGGGAATTCTTTTAGTGGAAAGCTTTCATTAAACCTTCTTTCATCTGAACTTGGGAGATACGAGGATGATTTTGAAAGTGGAAAAACAAGATTATGGTCCACCTGACTAACTTGTGGTATAAACGGTCAGGAAAAAAAGATTTTTTACATGACAGCTTTTTCTCTTTCAGAGGATGCTTTTGATGACTAGAAAGTTCTCTCAGAATATTATTCTGTTAAAACAAAATGGATCAAATTAAAGTAATGTCGTTTTATTAATACTGATTAAAGCAACTACAGAAATCAGATGTGCAAAGCTGAGCTTTCAAACTGTTAAGGACTGTTACAGTCCTAGCTACATCAACTGTAGTAATTTTATTTTTCAATTTTAAAAAATATCCACTCTGAACCTTTCTTGATAGTAAGAGGAGGCAAGAAATTCAGCATCTTAGACATCATAATAAAACAGAACATAACTGTCTCTTATTAAAAGACTCTTATCATTGATAAAGCTTTTTTTTTTTTTTTTTTTTTTACCATCATAAATGGAGTACTCGTGAAATGAGAAGGCATCTGTCCTGCTGTGTACATTTATCTTATTGTGATGAATGCTTTTTATTCCTTACAGGGCATTGCTCAGATAAACCTGAGTGATTTGGAGAGCTCCAGTGAGATGCAGCTTCACTGGTATTCTGTTCAAATCTTCACTGGCTCGGATCCCCAGAGACCAAAGAACAAACACCAGTGTGAAGAAAGTATTCCCCGGTCTTCTGGAAATGTAACCACAGTTAAAACAGTATGGCTCTGAAAAAATTATTTGTTTAACTTCATTTGACCTGATGAGTGGTTGCTTGTGATCATATCTCTAATACAGTTTGTTTGCAAGGTGCAGAGAAACGGATACGTTAATTAGTTCTTGTGGCGAGACCTGGATTTTAAAAGAATAATTAAAAGCTGGGTCATGTCTGAACATGATCTTGAAATATACCATGTTTTTGTATGCATACCTCCAGTTCAACTCTCTAAAACTCATTAAAAAAATCTGCCACTGCCCTGGAAGAGGCTGCCAAGAAAGGTCGTGCAGTTTCCATCCATGGAGATTTTTCAGCATTTTGGCACTGAGCAACCTGGTGTGACTCTAAAGCTCTTCTTCCTTTGAGCAGGATGTCAGATTAGGTGACCTCCAGAGATGGACTTGGATCTAACTCACTGGGTGGTGCTTCATAGTGAGATCTCCCAGTCTATGGCTTTAACTTTCTATAAATGGCTTTAACTCAACTTTTTAGCTTGTGACCTACTGCTCAGTGCAACGATAAAGGGTTTACTTTTGGCCCAGTTTGCATGAGAAATTGCTTTAATTCTTTATCGTTTTCAGGTTTTTTTTTTTTTTTATTTTAAGTAGGAATATACAATGATTGTGTTTTTCTATTGTTTTCTCTGGATAATATGCATTAAGTACAGGAGTTTGTACAAACAGGTTTGTCTGAAGTCTAGTTTACCTTCCAGGATGCAGTGACAGCCCTGTTAGCTAGGACGACTGCCCAACTGGAAGCAGTTGAGAGAGAGCTGGCAGAAGAGAGAGTGAAACTGGAGTACACTGAAGAGGAAATCCTGGAGATGGAGAGAAAGGAAGACCAGGCAGAAGCCATATCAGAAAGGTACAAATAGTAGTTAAAATACCTAATCTAACAGCTGAATAATATTTGCACCATAATGATGATCTGAAATACGGCAGGAGAAGCAGCAGATCCTTGTTCTGAGATCTGCTCCCTGTTAGGACTAGGGGTGTAAAATTCTTCTATCATGTGATGACGCACAAGCAGGAAAAAAAGTGTCATTTGAATAGCTAGCTGTGTTTATAGGACTTGGAATTTGGGGAGAGGGAAAACACTTCTTTTGAATCAAGCAGAAACATTGTTAGGGAGGCAACTGCAATGACTTGGCAATGGCACTGTACTTTTTAAAAAAGAGATATATAGATATGTGTAGTGACATGAGAAAATGAAAAAAAAAAAAAAGTATTGCAATGCTTGCAGAGCAGATATGCCATACTGCTCTAATTCATTAGTAATATTACTCCTTTTTTGAGCTATGCTTTTCTTTTTGTTACCGTTTTCTTTGACTGTTACAAAGACTGGAATGTAAACTTGGAAAAAACTATGGAAGCTGATTTTTTTGTCATGGAATTTATTTGTTTACCTGTGCATCTACAGAAACACAAGTATTCTGTATTTCTACTACAGAAATATTCTTAGTTGATAAACTGAGCAGGATAATGAAATGTACAACTATTATCCATAACTTGATGGGTGGGTTGGTTCTTTGTTGTTGTTGTTTTGTTTTTTAATGCCTACAAAATCCTTGTCGTGTTCTGACTTCAGGAGTTGGCAAGCAGAATCTGTTGACAGTGGATGCAGTAATTGCACCCAGACTAGCCCTCCTTATCCGGAGCCATTTTGCGGGGATTCATTAGCTGGACACATGTTTGCAACTCAAGCTGGCCAGTACAGTTCTGGAAAACTCCAGCCTCCACCAGTAAAGGTAACGAGAGAAGGCACTGAATAGGAGAACTGCACGCTGCTGCTTGCTAAGTCCAAATTGATCTGGAGAGAAAAGAAATGATACTAGCAGTCCTGCATGAGCACTGCCTTGATGACAATGGTGTGCCTTTGGAGTTCTTAAAGTGTCCTCTTCAGGGCTTGTGGGTTTTTTGTTTGTTTTTGTTCTGTTTTCTTGCTAGTTACTTCTGAGTAGAACAGTTTTTACGTTAAAAGGCAGGAGTATTTTTAATGCTACCTCTATCTAGTTTTAAATATGCACTTGCATCAGTGTGTTGCACCAGGGGAGATTCAGATAAGATATAAAGAAAAACTTCTCTCAGAGAGTGGTGGTCGGGCCCTGGAATGGCCTGCCCATGGAGGTGGTGGAGTTGCTGTCCCTGGCAGTGTTCAAGAGATGTCTGGATTAGGAGCTACAAGATATGGTTTAGTAGCTCATGGTAGCAGTGGTAATGGGAGGAAGGTTGGACTAGATGATCTTGTAGGTCCTTTCCAACCTTGTGATTGTAGGATTCTATGATTTATTTTCTTGACATTGTAACATAAAAGATGATGATTAAATTCCAGTGCTCTGAGAACTTACAGTTCTTAAAAGGAAGAAAGATGCTTAAAATTTTAAAACTTCCCTGTATTTTCAAATATCTTAGTGTTCTTGTATCATTGTTTCAACAGTCTTTTAGTTCCCTTTTATTGAGGTTGTTTTTTTGTTTTTTTTTTTTCTTGGTTTGAATTCCTGAAGTTTTTAGGTTGATACTTGCTTCAGAGTCACCTTGCTTTTTGAAATGTGGCTTAGTGTTCTCTTTCTGTCAAGGCTGGGAGATCAGGTGGTAGCTCAGTTAATGCCCAGTTGTTAACAGTGAATGCAGTCTTTGTCTTCCACAACTATGATTCACAGTATAACTGCATCTTATAATTTTTATTATAATTTTTACTGTTCCAGGTAAGGCTTCTGAAAAATAATCTTACAATTTTGAATGACCTAATTTTAAGACTACTGACAATAAGGTGCTTCGTTCTCTGTTCTCAAGGCTCATTAAAATTTTATCCTAGCTAACAGGGCAAATTGTTTACTTTTGATGTTGTTGAAATAAAGGGAGAGGGGAAAAAGAAATAGAAAACAAAAATTCTTTCATTGTAATTTTAGGTGGATAAAGAAACTAATACTGAGGATCTGTTTCCTGAAGAAGTTGCTATCCTTCCAAAAGAGAGAACTAGCCGCAGGCCACGGGGTTCTGCTTTTGTTCGCAGCAGCACAATTGTTCGTTCCCAGACCTTCTCACCTGGAGCACGAAGTCAATATGTTTGCAGAGTGAGTAAAGCTTAAAAAGAAGACAGGAAGAGACGCCTTCACACGAGTATTTGTGTGCTTGTGATAATTTCTTCTTAAAACTTGAATTACAAGAAACTTATGCTATTTTTTGATGCTAATGGATGTTTCATTGATTATAAACATTGAGGTGGGGGGGAAAAGGTCCTTGGTTCCTGATCACTGTAAGAATTTAAACCTGAATTTATTTCTGCTAAAATTAAAGAACCCACCGTAACTTAAATCTGAAGCTCCTTTACCTGGCAACCTGTGATGCTGAGCTAGTGGTTCATTTTACAGAGTTGTTTCTCAGTATTGCAGATTGCTATATCAGTATTGATTTTGCTATATTGGTGGAATGCATGTGACTTTATTTGCAGTCTTTCCTAAGTAGCTTTCCTGAGAGCTTGAGTTTGAAAATGCCATTGTAATTTTTAAGCCAAGAATTGAGAAGCTGGACGTGAACTGGCAGTGTGCGCTTGCAGCCTGGAAGGCCAACTGTGTTCTGGGCTGCATTATAAAGTGGTGACCAGCAGGGAGAGGGAGATGATTGTCCCCCTCTGCACAGCTCTTATGAGGCCCCATCTGGAGTACTGCGTGCAGTCCTGGGGCCCCCAGCACAGGAAGGATGTGGAGCTCTTAGAGCGGGTCCAGAGGAGGACACTAATATAGTCAGAGGGCTGGAGCACCTCTCCTATGAGGAAAGGTTGAGGGAACTGGGCTTGTTTAGCTTGGAAAAGAGAAGGTTCCTGGGAGACCTCGTAATGGCCTTCCAGTATTTGAAGGGAGCATATAAACAGGAGGGGGAATGGCTATTTGCAAGGGTGGATCGTGACAGGACGAAGAGAAATTGTTTTAAACTGAGGCAGGGGAGGTTTAGGTTAGATATTAGGAGGAAGTTTTTCACACAGAGGGTGGTGACACACTGGAACAGGTTGCCCAAGGAGGTTGTGGATGCCCCATCCCTGGAGGCATTCAAGGCCAGGCTGGATGTGGCTCTGGGCAGCCTGGTCTGGTGGTTGGTGACCCTGCACATAGCAGGGGGGTTGAAACTACATGATCATTGTAATGCTTTTCAACCCAGGCCGTTCTATGATTCTATGAATCTTTTGGTTTAGCCCTGTTATTTATATTGCATACAGTGCGTTTGTGGACTATACATTTTCAATATGAGCTCTATTATATATATTTATTTTTAATAAATAACTAAAGGGAAACATGTGATTGAAATGGAAAAAAAATTTTTGCTTAAAACTACACAATTTCAGTGTTTTTGTTTTGTAATAAAACTCAAAAGAAAAAAAGAATCCTGATTTCTGAATGCGTTAGCAAGTTTTATATTCAATATCTTTTCTGCTCAGCTGTATCGCAGTGACAGTGACAGCTCGACTCTGCCAAGGAAATCACCGTTTGTCCGGAATACATTGGAGAGGCGCACTCTGCGGTATAAGCAGGTATGGCTGGCAAATAGGTTTTCACTGAAGCTGATGTAACAGTGGTACTTCTACACATAAGCATATTTGTTCTGATCTTTTTTGGAAACATGCAAGACTTCTGTAATGCAGTCAGTAGCTAAAGGTTGCTTTCTGTCTGTTTTGGTTGTTTGTTTTGTTTTAATCTGAAAAGTAGACATAGGAAAGTAAGACATTATTGCGAATGATTGTTGAGGAAAAGACAAGGTAAAGACAAAACCTTGCTTAACTGGCACTAGATTTGTATTGATTTACATATAAACTTCATTAAATTTCTAAAATCTAGTTTATGATACAGAATGCAGACCCACAGAAGTCTGTATGAATGATGGGAAAACATCCTGCTCCCTTGCCGTGCAGCCTAGCAAACAGTGGTGTTTGGGGCCCAACAGTAGTGTGTAAAATTGCAGGAACTAAAGGGATCTGGACAGACTTGAAAGGTGGGCCCATGAGAATTCAGTGAATTCTAACAAGGCCAAGTGCAAGGTATTGCATTTGGGTTGGGGCAAAACTGTGTTCAGACTGGCAGAAGGGTTTCTTGAGAGCAGCACTGCAGAGAAGGACTTGGGAGTTCTGTTGGGTGAAAAGCTTGATGTGAGCCAACAGTGTGCATTTGCAGCCTGAAAAGCCAGTTGTATCCTGGGCTGCATCAAAGGAGGAATCGTCAACAGGGATCAGAGCTGAATGTTCTGTTCCACTCTGTCCTCATAAGGCCCCATCTTAAGTACTGTATCCAGACCTGAGGGCCCTAGTATAGGAAGGATGAGGAGCTGTTGGAGCAAGTCCAGGGAAGAGCCACAGGGATGCTCAAAAGGCTGGACCTCCTCTTCTGTAAAGAAAGGCTGATGGAGCTAGACTTGTTCAGCCTTGAGAAGGCTCCAGCGAGACTTCATTGTGGCCTTCCTATACTTTAAGGGAGCTTATAAACAAGAAAAATGTTTGTGGGTTGTTTTTTTTGTGTGTGTGTGTGTGTGTGTGTGTGTGTTTTGGGGTGAGATTGTGGATGCTCAGTCCCTGGAGGCACTCAAAGCCAGTTTGGATGGGACCCTGGGCAACCTGATCTAGTGGGGGACAGCTCTGCCTATGGCACGGGTTGGGGATGGGTAGACTTCAAGGTCCCTTCCAACCCAAGCCATTCTATGATTCTAATAGCTTAAGTTCTTTCTCCACCCACCATGCAGAGCAAGTGGGATAGAAGGGCATGTAGGAAGTTAATACGATGTTGATAAATGGCTTACAGTTTAGCCTGGTAAGCAGATACTGATTTCTTGCTGGTATATGCAGGTAGATGACTGTGCCTTCTATTTTGATTCAGAATGTATTTTAAAGCTAACATCGAGTAAGTTCCTTTGAAGTGAATCTGTTGCTCAGTGTGTTGTTTTCTAGCATAGTTATTCAGTTATGGGTATTTCATATTATATGCCTTTGCTTATTTTCATTATATAAGAGTTTAGTTTATAAACTTAAATTAGTTAAATATTTATAAGCTGAAGGTAGACTGTAAAGGAATGTAGTAAAGAGCATTAATTGAAAAAAGTTGTATATTGTACAGAAAAAAGCACATTACAGCTAATTAACATTTCACTGTGGGGTATAAATAATCTCTCCAAATCTTTGCATCAGGAAAAGCTTTGTGTAAAGTACATACATAAAATGTATGCATTATGTACCTAAAAATATACCAGTGCACCATGTTGAGAATAATGTACTGTGAATTGTATTTGAATCCTAATAACTCAGCAGTCCTGCAGATCATCTTTGGCTGAGCTTATGGCAAGGACATCATTAGACCTGGAGCTGGATCTCCAGGCATCCAGAACTAGACAGAGACAGCTGAATGAGGAGATATGTGTCTTAAGGGAGCTGAGACAGCGTCTGGAAGATGCCCAGCTCAGGGGGCAGACAGATCTGCCCCATTGGGTCCTTCGGGATGAGCGATTCCGAAATCTGTTGAAGGAAGCAGAGAGGCAGGTAAGCTAACATGAAGTTACTCATGCACTCAACTTGTTTAGAAACATTTCATTTCAAAATTTCTTGATTGTAAGAACTTCTTCAAAGATCTTGTTTATTTATTTATTCACTTCTTACCGAAATCCAAATAATTCATGTTGCCTCTATGTTCTTGAAGTTGCCACAATGAAAATGATTGCATTGATTGTTACCCAACTGTGTGTTTGAAAACAATTACTGGAGAATGTCACTTTCTTTTAGTTATTTTATGGCTGGAACTTTAGCAGTTTCATTACTGAAAGAAACTGTGCTAATTTGATATTTCACTTTTTAGAAGTATTTGAAATGTTCCTTAAGTATTTTTGCTCTTCTTGGGGAAAGAAAGTAAATGCAAGAAGCATTACAACAAACAAAACAGCCATTGGTTATCAGAAGCAGGGTAAGCCTAGCTTCATTTTGAGATCTTACTTGAGAGAGCAATGTGCAGTAGATTTTTTTAATTTAATGCATATCTTTGTGAAGAACACTATTAAATTAAATAGTGCTGTTAGTCTCTTGCATTTATAGATCTTAAATGTTCAGCTATTTCAGATAATATAGTGGTGTGGTTTTACTCTGGTGATTAGAAACAATCCATCATGTAAACCTAAGTATTTTTCTGTTATGTTTATTCACATTATAATTATTAGCATTCTATTCTTTGTCTCGTTTTCAGACACGGCAGACCAAATTTGAACATCACCAGGAGCAAGCAGCTGAAAAGATGCTAAAGAAAGCATCAAAAGAAATATACCAGTTGCGTGGGAAAAACCAGAAGGAGCCTATTCAGGTGCAGACTTTTAGGTGAGTGATAATGTGCACTGATATAACAACAGTTCATTACAGAAGTTAAAGCTCTCTAAAGCAGTTAGCTCAAATTCTGTGTATCTTGAATATAGCCAGTAATTTCTAACCACGTAGTGATTTGAGCTCATGAGGTTTCCTATGAATTGCTTGTAGTGGCAAAAAAGCAAAATTAAGGTAAAATTACAGTCTTACAGCTCTAAAATGTGTGAGGAAAGAAGTCTTCATGTGCATACAGCATACCTTGGGTGATTCTTTTAATTTAGCTTGGCTACTGTGAAGTTGAAACAATTTCTCAGCTCTTCAGTGCTGTCCTGTAGGCCTGAACAGTTTGCTTAGTGTCATGCATGTATATTACTAGAGACATTGTTTCTCTGAAAATTGCTCAATAATCTTCCAGCTTTCTCTTAAGCCTTTTCTTTGGGCTTTGGTTCCTGTTCATCTATTTTCATGTAGTGTGTGTCCTGCTAGATTTAGTTTGCATATAAACAGTGTGCACTTCACAGGAAGAATTTAGCATTAATTGTTAAAAATATTTTTAGGGTGGGTGTAGGCATGGGAGGAAGATCAGCAACGGTTTTACATGATACTGTTTTACACAACGTTCAGATTTTTTAGAATTTGTTTATGAGAGACACTTAAGCAGAAAACTTGTCCATTCTGTAATATTGGAAAGGGAAAAGCCTTCCTCACAGATGTGGAGAGGAATTAAGAAGAATGGGGATTGTAGGGTTGTTTTTACATCATTTGTTTCTGGTAATGACTGAATTTTTGTGCTTATAAAATGATATGGGAAATTGATAAAAATGAGGTAAATGAAGTGAAGGACAGTTTGATTGTATACATTCTTGCACCTTATGTGCACACATCCATTTCTTATGACAGTTATTTTATAGCATATACTGTTTGCCTAATAGAGAAGCAAGGTTAATCTTAATGTTGTCTTCATTGTAGTTATTGTAGGCATTATTGCAAAATGTCAGAGGTGAACTTTGCATTGCACGGAGGAGTTACATCCTATGAAACCTTTTTAGAGTGAACTGTAGTTGATGTCCAGTTCTATACAGTTTGCACCTAAATTTTCAAAACTACTAATTGTGTTCAGGGGAATGCTTCCAAAAGTATATGGTGAGGGTTTTGTGTAAGTTACTTGTACTCAAGTAAGCCCTGAGGTAGGTGTGTAAGTAGTAAGAAATAAGGAGTAAAGAAATGGTTATTGCGAGGGGTTGGGAAAAGGACAGTGAGGGAAGATTTAGGTTGAATATCAGGGGGAAGTGCTTTACAGCGAGAGTGAGGTGGTGGAACAGGCTGCCCAGAGAGGTTGTGGATGCCCCGTCCCTGGAGGTGTTCAAGGCCAGCTTGGATGGGGTCCTGGGCAGCCTGGTCTAGCATTAAATGTGGAGGTTGGCAGCCCTGCATGTGGCAGAGAGTGGAGATTCATGACCCTTGAGGTCCCTTTCAACCTGGCCATTCTGAGATTCTGTGTGATTCACATAATCTCAGGAGGGTTGAAACTGGATGATCTCTGATGAAACTAGATGATCCTTTTCAGCCCAGGCCGTTCTATGATTCTGTGATTCTATGACGTACGTCTGACTTCTTTTCATCTTTTTTGATCACAGAGAGAAGATAGCATTTTTTACAAGACCAAGGATTAACATACCTCCTCTGCCGGCTGATGATGTATGACATGTTGCATTGTAAACATGAAGTATTTATCGCTTTTATTTTAATGAAGTTATTAGATTAGCCAAGTTTCTTTTAAAAAAAAAAAAAAAAAAAAGCAAACAAACGAAAGTGCAAAAGCTAATATACACGTTTTGTAAAAAATAAAAAAAGGAAAAAAAGTAAAAGTAAACAAAAACATATATATAAATATATATACATATATATATTTTATAATAGCGACTACAACAAGGCTTGGTTTTTCCTTGTTGTGAAATTGACATCTCTGAAGACAACTTATTTTATAAAAGATCGACTATCCTGTTAAGAGCGTGTACAGTTTTTATGCTGTTTTATTTGACTTAAAGGCTGGAAGACAGAAACAAAGTGAGTTCAGGCAAATTCACTGTAGTGTAATTTATTTATAGTGCCTTTTTTCCTTGAAGGAAAATACCTACTTTAAGATGTATTTTAAGACTGAAATTTTGTTCTTCAGTATTTGTCATACAGTAGAATGGAACCATTGAGCTGGTTTTGTTTCTGATACCTGAAATGAAAATACTATGTTCTAAAATTGTCACTTTTTTCAGCTTTATTATCTGTAGCTTATTATGTACATTGTATCCTTTAGCACCGTCTGTGTCATAGCAAAATATTATCACCTGCAGTGTGTTTAACAGTGATTAGAAGCGACGTTAAACACTGCAGAATTCGTTTGCATGTTCTTACTGTGCACTAATAGAATGTTTTCATTTCGGTTGTCTCTAAAATATCTTTATATTCTTAACTAGATGCTCAATTTAAACGGAGGAAGGAAAAGGGTGACAGATCTTTGTTTTGCTGTTTAAGGGAAAGGGAGTTAAGAGAGCTCTGTGAGCTAGCTAAACTGCTAAAGGGATATAGCAATTCTTACAGTTTCAAGATTCTGACCTGATTCAGGAATACGTGCTAATTTCAGAAAGCAGCTGCAGTAAGGAAGGGTGCTTAAACACGTATTCTTTCTAAAGGATCTGTTTTGAGGTTACTGCATGTGAGTTCTTTTGAACAGTGACGCTTTCCAGGGAGGAAGTTACAATTCTGGAAGATACAGCTCACTTGATTGCTGATTGGATGAGCTGAGATCTGGTAAAAATAATTTTACTTGTTCATTGTCGTGAAAGACTGTCGCTCTGCATTCCCGAGAATGCCAGTTTTGTGTCCTTGCATCCTGCAAGTATGTAAAAATACTTCTTTACTAAGCTACTATAATAGAGCTTCTTGTATTTTTCTAATTATGCATTACCTACAAAAAGAGGTGCCCAACACAAGACTAACTTTGCAAATTGCTAGAATTGCCTAGAAAGAAGATCGTGCTCTCTTTTCATCAAGGGGATGTGCCCAGGTCAGATTGGCTTCAAATTTTTATGCCAAGAAACCAAAGCAGCAGCAGTCAGAAACTAAGCAGATTCATGAAAACCTCTGATCAATGGGAGTACTTTAAAATATTTTGCAAGCATTCTTTGTATCAAGAGCTTGTGTTCTGTAAGTGTGTCAGAAGTAAGGAAAACCTGAAAGTGAAGCTAAATTGCTTCTTATTTGCTCAATCTGAGGCCACATGTTTGGACATGGGGAGTTAAATCTCAGTCATTACTCAATGAGGATGATTAGCAAAGACAGTTAACTTTAAACTAGTACTTAAACTATACAGATAAAAAACAAGTTAGTGTTTGGGTAAAAGTCTAGGGACAGCAAGCTTTCAGGTGCTTGTTACTTGAAATGATCAGTTGGTCGGAATTTCATGTCTCATGATCAGTGGAGGCCCTTTCATAGTAGTATTTATCCTAAGTTACCATGCAGTGCTTCCAGAAATGCTTGCTTTGTGCTAAGAATAGACAACACCGTGTTCTCATGGCAGTGTCTGAATACTGGAAGAGGTTGCCCAGAGAGGTTATGAGCTCTTTGTCCATGGAGGGATCGAGGACTTGATTGGGTATGGTCCAGGGCAGCCTGGTTGCATTAGACCCACCTTGTGCAAGGGCTGGGTTGGGAACCTTCCTCCCACCCTAAATTGATCTCTGACCATATAAATATAACAAAGGGACGATGTCTGGTGGCTTCTCTGTTAGGGGGTTCTGTTGGTGTTTTTAATTAGTGACCGCTGTGAGACGTCATCAGTTTATCTCGTGAGTCTGTGATTCTGATTACTGTAACGAGTTCTGTCTTGATGTGGTAATGAGTTATCATATTCAGTATTCATCTCTCTTGTTTTTGTCACAGTTCTGTATGATTGTGTCATTTTTGTATTATTTGAAAGTATTTCTTCTACAAAATAAAATAATTTGCCATAAACAAATAGAATTTTGTTTAATGCCACAGAAGAAGACGTTGTTTCAGGGGTTTATATTTGCCACATTTGTGACCCTTTCATAAAGACATTGTATATTTGAGTAACAGTGAATGCTTTCAAATAAAATAAAGAGGAAATCTGTGAATTCAGAGATTCTAGGGAAGTTCCACTGAAGACCTGAAATGGATGCGGAGTGTAAAGAATGGCGGATATGTTTTCCTATGTGGTTACTGCTCACAATGAGTTGACACCTGTATCTAAAGCTCATGGTTGAATATTCCAAATTTCCTGGCTGGCTCCTCTACCACACACTGAGTTGTCTTTTTTTTTTTTTTCTTTTTCTTTTTTTCCTAGCAGGATTTCTTACTTGGTAGATTTGTGTTTGGACACTGTTATTCCTATAGTATCTTAGTTCATGACCAGTCCCAATCTGGAAACCACTCAAAAGAACACACATTAACATTTTTAGGCTGAATTTTACTGGTGCTTTCCACCTTAATATTTGTAGAAAGACCCTTGTTGTTGTTGTTGCTCTCTACTACCCTGAGCTGCAGGAGCACAGTCAGAATGGAAGTACTGACACATGACACCTTTCTCTGTGCAGGATTTGCAGGGCGTTAAGGGTATGACGGAGTTTAGGTTATTTTTAAAATGGTCTGCTTGAAATAGTCATCTGGAATGCCAACTGTCTCGCTGCCATCAGGATCAGCTACAAAAGTTGTAATGGGTAGGTTGGTATGGATCTGCTGATATAAGAATTAAGTCTTGTATATATTTCTTGCTGTGAGTGCTTTGTGTGAGTGCTTTGCAAAACTTCAAGGTAAGTGCTATATATAAAGAGCAGATTTTTTTTTAGCAGTTAGATGAACTACATGTTCTGTGTCCATTTTCAGTATGATGCAAAACTGATTTGAATTGTGTTTTTAGGGAGGATGGAGTTTTACTGCTTGTTTTGGATCCCATCTCTTTTCTAACAGTAGAGGCATGGGACTATGAGAAGAAAAATATATTTACAGAGAGACTTCAGAAACTGCAAGCTAGCAAAAGGAAGAACTGTTTCGTTTCTTTGGTTTTTTTGTTGTTTTTTTTTTCCAAAACAGCATATGAACACTTATTTCCCTTTTCCTGAGACTACCTGATTGACTCACTAAGATTGGAAGAAAATGCCAAAGCATGAAATTGATTTGGTTTTGGAATCTCTCTATGTATCAGCTAAGTGACTTGCTTGTACTTCAGAACATCTCAGCATTCTTGGAAGTTAAAATCTTCTTGGAAATAGAATCTGGGTTATAGAATGACATATTCTGTAGTAAGTTAGGTATTCTGTTCCTATGACAGCCAGACTATCCAAGTGGAAATATGCATTCAGCAAAAGACTCAGTGAGTTCATCTGTAGGAAGATGAGGAAAACTGGGAAGGGAATTTAGGTAAGTCTATCAAGGAAGAAAAAGGAGGTTAATACCGTTGTTCTCATTTGGTTAGTGCATATAATAGCTATTTTGTGTCTAGGACATGGTATTTATGTTCTGTTATGTGTCTTATGACACAAAAGTTCCTAAGTATTTATGATTGCATCTGACCAATTCGTTGCTGCTTGCTGTTTTCCCTACACTCTCTCAATAAAGTGATCAAGGAAAATTGCAGATAAATTATCAAGGAAAAAAATTAAGTGCTAGTGTTTAAATTCCTCCACATAATTCAACTGGCTTATTAATTTTGCTTCTAATGGGCACAAATAACAGACACTGACAAGAAGTTCTTTCACTTTGCCCCACTTTCCTGATGTGATTATAGTAGGTCTGCAGCTGTTGCTGATGCAGGAACAATAGAGAAATGTGATCTGTGCTGTGATGTAAAGGGCATAATCAAATCTCTTTTCTAAAGGCATGTTCCTTGTTCCAGAAGGCTGTAGGAATTTCAGGTGAGGCAAGTGAAGTGCTCAGTTTTCATAATAAAATTGAAAATGTGGCTTCTGTTTGTGGAATCCATATGAGAAACAGGGAATTCAGGAACTTCCTCTGGTTTGCAGACAAGATCTGCTGGAGCTGTGGAGCCATTCTGAAAAGATTCTGTGCACTCTGTACCAACTGACTTGCTCTGATGGGCCGGCCTGTCTGCTTAGAGCATCCCCAGGTATTTGCCTAAGCACACTGGAACAGAAAGACCTTCTGGAACTGTGCTCCTCAGCCTTTGAGGTTTGTGGAAACCATGTGTGCGCCTTCAGTCACTCATGGGCGTTATCATGTGTGCCTGGACAAGGTCTTCCTCTGCCTACCTGTGCACCTGCTTGATAATACAAAGCACACCCCTGAATGCCCTCAAGTGTACAAGCTGTCTGTGCACAGTTTGGATAAGATGAACCAAGCTGTAAGGCACGTGTCCTGAAATAAGGTTTCATGCACAAGTGTTCGTATGCTGTCTTCTTGAATAGTAATAACCCTGTGTTGCACAGCATGATCCTCGTGGGGGGTGCAACATTTGTACCATCAACTTTAACATGGTTATTTTGCTGTAGAGCCTGAGTACAATACATTGCAGGGTATAACAACAGCAGAACAAAAGGCAACAAAACAATGCTGGCGTGTAATGCGCAGTTGAGCAAAATGATGAAAGACAATCACTGCATTTGAACAAAACATTTTATGATGTTCTAGTGTTGAAATACTTGATAGGAGGATTTAAGCCGAAGTTTTGAAGGAAGAGAGGATCTTTCAAGCAGCAATGGCTTCACAGATAAAAGGCAGAAGGGTGCAGGTGGGATGATTTAATGAGTGAACCGGGTGGAGATTGAAGATAACGTTAGGGACTAAGCCTCTGGGGTCATTTTGCAAAGCTTGGCTATGGAGGGTTAATCAATCTGCTAAGCTTGAAATGGAGCGTGAGGAGAAGGAAAAATGCAAGGGATGGTGGAATTTGTTTGTCTGACTCCCAGGCCACTGGGATTACATATTTCAAAAAGATGAAATAGGATTATTACAACACCTGGGTGCTGCTGCATGGTGAATAGGAATGCATCTTAATTTGTACAGTCTATAAATTGCTTTTTCTTCATGAAAAATGTGTTTGTTAGTGCTGCTGCAGCAGAATTTATGAACTCTCTGTAAAGAAAAAAAGCAACCACTTCTCAGGTGAGGGGGAAAGAAAAGCACCAGGTATTGTGCTCAAGAATGCAGTGCTCAAGAATAGGTAGGGAGGGATAAAGAAGCTTGCAGTGTAATCTTGCAGGATTACAGCTTGCTTTGTCTCTCTGCCCCGTCTCCTATCAGATATCCTATAGACGGAGGATGCAGTCACATGATTATTACTGCTTCCTCCCCATGACATCAGTGCTTTGCAGCCATACCACTAAAGAAAGGATGCTTTTGAAATCTTTGGGACTGGGCTAAATGATGTTGAATTGCAGGTAAGCAACATTAATTCTTCAACAAATTAGCGTGCCAGATGCTTTGCACTGCCATCCTGGGGCTCCGGCTCCGTTAGGCAGAGTTGCTGCTAGAAAAGAAGGCAGAACAGATTCTTTGCGAGCAGAGGGCTTGCAGGTGCAGAGGCTGCTTACTGCTGTGTGCTGCTCTTCCAGCTGACATCTCCAGCAGAAAGGCTGCCAGCTGGAGCCTTAAAGCCGAGGAAGGCCTTTTGTCCCTGCGTTTCGATATGGCTCCTTCATATGTATGCTGAGCTCAGTTTGCCGGAGCAGCCATCATCATGCAGCCGTGCAGAGAGAGGAGGGACCAGCAGCACCGTTTTCATTGCATGGCCAGTTTTGTGGCTTATTGCTGTGGGCTTTTTCTTACCTTAACGGCTGCCTAAAGGAAGTTGTTGTAGAGAGAGATGTGTCTGAGCTTAAAAAGGATATGAGGATTAACTTGCTTAGGGGGTTAGCAGCTGTATTTGGGGAAAGAGGCTTTTCCTTCATTAATTTTTGCTGACGTGGTTTGCAAGTACCCAGTCCGACAGGTTTCCTACATGATCTGCTGTAGTATAGGATAGGTATCGTTTGTCATCCAATATAAACGTGGAAAATAACATTCCAGAAAGGACATAGTAGATGACGAGCAGATTTTCAGCTCTTACACAAGCTGCTCAAAAGGCTGAAAAAGCCCCACTGAACGGATTTTTTGGACAGGGGTATTTTTGTGGCAAAGTCCAGAGTCTGTTTTCTTTTCCTACGATACAAATATACGAAGACATAAATTTGTAGAGAGTGGCTTGCATGGCCTTCTTTAAAAAATTCTGGATGTATTTTTAAATGTATGTTGGCTTTTTATTTGCATTGCATTGTTATTGTCCTTAATATGAATAGTAGAATGGTAAAAGCAAGAAGCTAAATTCATGTTTGAATTCATACCAGTCAGAGAAGTGAAATTGTGCTTGTTTATTTTTGCATTAAGAATTCTGATGAATAAACGTGCGCTCTTGAAAGAGAACGGAGGGTGACTCAGCTGCAGCTCCATAGAGGACAGGCAGACAGGTGGCACGTCAGTCACAGCGTGCAGAATGTTCTCTTATTCCTGAAAATCCTCCTCTCTGTTCAAGTTTTTGTGGTTGTTTTTTTTTTCCCCATCATTGAAGTGTGACATGGCTCGGGTCAAAGCCAAACACCTGAGGAGATTTTGCATCTCCAATGTTGGTGTGTAGGCTGCACATCCTGGAGGGAGGTACATTCCAGTCTCAAGTAATAAGGTATGTGGTTGTGTCAGAAATATGGAAAACAAAATGAACAGCAGTAGCAATGAAACTCTGGAACCAATGAAGACAGCAGTTTTTAGAAATAGAAAGCCTTTGTTATTATTTCTTCAAATAGAATCTTTGTTTTTTCAAGATCAAGCCTCAAAAGCAGTGGAAATACAAGCCTGTCATTTGATGAGATAGAAGGCTGTATTCTGATGGCACCAGTGCTGAATTTCCTCTTTTAACTTCCTCTGAGGCATCAGGAGGAGTGCTGGCTCAATTCTTTCTAGCCTTAGGAGTGCAGCAAGTTCGGTTCCTGCTCGCCATGCACAGGCATG